GGACGTACTGCGTCGACGTCTTGGCGATCTGGTCCATGAGCTCGCCGAGCTGCTTCCGGAACGAACCCGCGATCGTGTTGCCGACGAGGAAGCCTTGGCGGCGCGGCGCCGACTTGGGTGGACCTCGCCCGCCTGGGGTCGTCTTGGGCGTCTCTTTGGCCGAGAGCTCGGGGAAGACGTCGCGGATGAACGACGACTGGCTCGACGCGAGGAGCTCGAGGAGGTCCGACGGAAGGGTGTCTTTGTTCTTATCCAGAAAGTGCGATCCGTCGTACGTCACGTCGCCCGCGTAGTGGACGATCTTGAACTGCATCGGGTCCATTCGAACGCGGTCGATGCTCTTGTGCGATGCAAAATGCCTCGTGCACCTTGTTGACAAACATGCTGTCCGAGCCTTTTGGCTGCAAGCACGTCTCGTTGAGGAGGTCGACGATGCCGAGCTTGCCTTCGATGAGGTCGAGGATCGGCTGGTTGTCCTCGAACGTCACCAAGTCCAACGGGATGCCCTCTTCGACGTACTCGGCCTGGACGGTCTTGAAGATGTCGCTGTTGAACTTTTGCTGCAGCTTCTCGTTGGCGTAGTTGATGCAGAGCTGCTCAAACCCGTTGTGGTCGAACGACTCGAAGCCAAAGATGTCGAGGAGACCAATGTGCGACGCGACGTTCTTGGTCGAGCAGATCGCGCGGTTGATGCGCCCGACGAGCCAGTCGAAGAGGTGCGAGTACATGCCTTTCGCGAACGCGTCACGGAGGTCCGCCGCTTGGTCCACGTTGAGGGGAATCATGTACGTCTCGCCACCCGCCGTCATCTTTCGTTGACAGAGCGTCACCTGGAGCGCCGACGCCGCCGTGTTGAGAAGCGCGGCGACGGCTTCGACGCGTTCGAGGCTCAAGACGGAGCATTTTTCTACCGTCTCCTTGCGGAACTCAACCTCGCCGAGGTTCAAGATGGCCGAGACGATCTCAAAGATACCGTGCTGCTCGCGGTCGTCGATCCCGATCGTGTCCATGGCATCCTTGGTCTCTTGGAGAAACACAGAGTCGTCCGTGTTGTCGACGCGCGAGCCAGCGCCGACCTTGACAAAGTTGTAGTCGGCGACGTTACCCTCGAGGAAGAGCGACTTCTTGAGCTCCGACGCGAGCGAAAACACTTGGTAGAAAATGTGGTAGTTGCGCTCGCCCTGGGTCTGGCCGACGACGCGGCTCTTCTCGAGCAAGTACGTCTCGCAGCGCGCTCCAATGAGGTACCCGCTCGCATCAAACTGCAGCTGCGCAAACTTGCCAAAGCGCGAACTGTTGTCGTTGCGCTTGGTCTTGGCGTTACCAAAGGCTTCGAGGAGCGGGTTGGACTTGAGGACCTGGTCAATGACGGTCGAGCCCTTCTCGCCGCCGCCGGACACGGACGCCAAGTGGTGCATCATGATCTTGACCGTCTCCGTCTTACCAGCGCCCGACTCGCCGCTCACGAGGATACTCTGCTCGATGCGGTGCTTGCGCATGTCGAGGTAAGCATGCGACGAGAGGGCGAACGGGTGCGGAGGCAGCGACGTTTTTGGCTGCTCCAAGTACTTGGGGTATAGCCCCTAGACACATACCGTGGCTCATGGCAAGGATCATATACCATCAGCCTACCTCGCTGTAGAGGTCGAGCCACTTGTACGGGTTGACTGCAATGCAGATCTGGCCCGTGTACGTATACGGGATGCTCTGCGCGTGGCGTAGCTGGAGATTCTTCAAGACCGCCGGCTCGTGCAAATGGTTGAGCGTGCACATGTCGTCGACGCCGAGCTTCTCGAACGAGTTGCAGATGGGCATCGCGGTGGCCGAGACCTCGCCCGCGAGCTTGGCGATCTCGCGCACGTCAAAGGTCTTTGTGGTGCCGATCTCACGGTCGTACGCATCCTCGTCCTCGACAAAGCGCACTTGCACGGAAGTCTCCGAGAGCTTCTGGACGACCGTCGCCTTCTTCCACACGACGTTCTCGTGCGGCACCCACACGGCCGTTCCGACAGCGTCCGCCATGCCAAATTGCTCTATCCGCCTGTCTAGTTAAGTATTTTTGGGCAACCGAATATTCTTGGGACTGAAACCGCTGGCGGCAATTTCTATACCAACGACTTCATCCTACGGAAGGAGTCGAGAATATACGAATCACCCTTCCAGCTCGCGCGCTACAAACCGTCCAAGGGATCTGGGTTGTCGCTCGCACCGAGTGATGAAACGGAGGGAGTGCTTGGATGCGGCAACTGCTCGATTCCTCGAGAACGTACGATCAGGATGGTGTTGGTGATGCGCACTATGGGTAGTACTACGCTATACCAAAGCTCGTTCAAAGCTGCTAGCTCGAAGCGCGGTCTTGGGCGCCGCTGCAACTGCCAGCAAGAAGCGAATCTTGTGTTCGAAGAGAAGTTTGCATGTGTTTTTTAGATCCAGTACGACCATGTGGCCAAAGGTGGGGCTGCTACGCCGGAGCTATAACCGCGCATAGGCGTGTCGGAGGTGATACCAGCGAGGTGTCGAGCTCGTTGTCGTAGCCCTTGGGTGCACAAGGGGTTGCGGGACGGCGGCCACGTCCGAGCGCCACGTCCGAGCGGGCCAATCACTCTGCGTCGTCGTCGGATACCGGCATTTGATTGGAGGGTATTTTTAGCCATTCCACCACGCAACGGCAACCTCAACGGCAAACTCGACGTCTCGAGCCATTGCCGAGATGGAGATCAAGCCGCGGGAGCCACCGCGCCGACCGACGCTCACCTCGCACAAGTCGGCGGGCTCGCTCCTCGACGACGCCGGACTCAAGCGCGCAGATGGCCGCAGCGTCGACGACAACGAACACGCCGTCGGACGCCGCAGCAGCAAGCCGCATCTGAGCATCGACATCCACGAAGCCAAACCGCCTTTTCCTCTGGGAAAGCGCCGGTCCGTCAGTGACGCCTCGCTCAAGCTCAGCCAAGGCGACGTGCTGGGCCACGATATGCTCGTGTCGCGGCCAGGCTCGCCGGCAGCCAAGGCCATCGACATGACCAACCAGATCCAGCGCGCGCGGTACAACGCAGCTTCCTGCATCGCCGCATCGGAACGATGGCTTCCTAGGCATGGCACACTCTTGACGTCGCCGACGGCTGCGTTCAAAAAGCCCGACGGCAACGAAATCCACGACCAACATGAGCAGTATACGCTCACGTACGGCATGATGACGGGCATTCTCGCCTCTGTACGATTTTGTTGCTATCGAATTGATCCTAACAACGACGACACAGGCGGGCAGCATGGACCTCTTCAAGCAGCGCCTGACCATGAACGACTTTATGCGCGTGGACAAGCGTAACTTCCCCGCGAACCCGAGGTCCAAGCTCAAGCACGAGTTCAAATTCAAGGTACAACTTGACATTGGACAATCCATCTCGAAGCAAATGTACAGGACTATGCGCCCGACATTTTTCGGCAGATTCGCCGGCGCTTTGACATTGACAGTGTACGCTCCAGGATGTACTTTTCTGCGCCTACAAATGTATGCTAGGCCGACTACCTCGTGACGCTCTGCGGCGACTTCAACTACATCGAGTTCATGTCCAACTCGAAGTCGGGCCAATTTTTCTTCTACTCGCACGACGGGCGCTTCATGATCAAGACGCAGACGCAAGGCGAGTCCAAGTTTCTCCGGCGCATTCTACCCCACTACTACAAGGTACACTTGACGCGAAATACAAGTGGCCTCCTACACAAGACTAGTTTGTGATGGAGAACCCAAACACGCTCGTGACGCGCTTTTACGGCATGCACCGCGTCAAGATGCACCACCTCAAGACACAAATGCACTTTGTCATTATGGCCAGCGTCTTCAATACGCCCAAGGAGATCCACCTGCGCTTTGACCTCAAGGGCTCGACCGTCGGCCGGAACGCGTCGCCGGACGAGAAGAAGCGCCGCGGCGTCCTCAAGGACAACGACCTCATCGAGGAGCAGATCCATCTCTCGCTCGGGCCGGCTCGGCGGGCCATGATGCTCGAGCAGCTTCGCAAGGTACACCGACGATCCTCATCAAGAGAGGCAGAGACGACGCCAACTAATAGGACGTGGCGTTCCTCAAGCGCATGAAGATCATGGACTACAGCTTGCTCGTGGGTATCCACGATGCCGGCCAAGAGATCCTCGCGCCTGGCGCCACGTATGCTACATACGTTATGGCCAGTCACTAAATGATGGGCATGCTCCTAGGCTTGCCACCGAGATCGACTTGGCCGAGCAAAAAAAGAAGCTGCAGCAGCTGCAACAGCCGACTGTGTTTGGGAGCGCAGCCGAGTCGACCGTGCAGCTGGACGACGACGACGACGACGATGACCTTGGCGCCTTGGATCCTGGCGTCCCACCCCCGACGTGAGAAACACGGTCGTTGCAACGCAGTCGCGTAACAGCGTGTCTTTGCTCGTAGGTCGCCACGCGTGGATCCTGTCAACAAGGAGCCGACCGGGTCGATCTTCTGCAAGGACCTCGGCGGCATCCGCGGCCGGCGCGCATCCGGGAAGAAGAACGGCTTTGTCTACTTTGTCGGTGCGCCTCCTCTTCCCGTCGATCGCAAACCAGCCATATTTGTATTATATCAGGGATCATCGACATTCTGCAGCAGTACAACATGCAGAAGCGCGCCGAGACGCTCATCAAGGGCCTCCAGCACAACGCCAAGGAGATCTCGTCCGTGGACCCCGACTTGTACGGCAACCGCTTCATCGAGTTTATGGAGAAATTTGTGCTCGTCGACGACTAGCAATGTAAGCGTAGTATCAAAAACTAATCCAGATACGCATCGACTTGGTACCCACAAGGAACACACGCGCGTGGTCAATCGTGCGTGTGGACATGGATGATGGCACCCAACGAGCAGCCTGATCGGAGGCGACAGCCATAGCCACATTACCGTGGCCCCGTCCTCGTTGTCGTCGGAGGCGGCCGTTGCGGCCGAGATGGCTGGCGACTCGGAGCTCGGAGGTCGCGCCCAGTTACTCACACCGTCGGGCCCGAAGCGAACGAGCCGCTGGCGCGCGGCGGGTATAGGCGAGTCGTCGGGTGTGAGACACGTACGTACGGAGAGCCGTACGTCCTTGCGCATACGAACAATGGGAGAAAGCGTACATTCTGTACCATGTACGGGAAAGGCCGGGCGTGTAATGTTCGTTCGACAGCGTGTCGAACCGCCCACTTTTGCTTTCCACCGGCCGTCGCAACTTCGCATCATGGTCCGTATCCTCGCCGCCGCTGCCATGGCCGCTGCCGTCGCTGCCCAGACGGCGCCCGCGCCGACGCCGTCCGTGTCCAACCCGGCGTGGACGATGAAGACGATCACGTCGATCCAGGCGCGTGTCCAGTCGGACCCGGCGACGTGGGATGAGACCAACCAGAAGTTTGGCCTCGTCCTCAAGAAGAACACCAACACGTTCGCCGAGAAGTACCGCGCTGCGATGGACACGGTCAACACGGCGTCGCCCGAGGGTGCGCTCATGTACGTGCAGACCGAAGGTATCAACAAGCAATTTGACGTGAACTGCGGCCGCAAGACCAACATGAGCTACATTTGGTTCATGAACGTGACGATCGTCCAGCCGACGTTTGCGATCGCCGAGACGCAGGACGACAACTCGGTTGTGCCCGAGTACGGCCACTTTGTCGCGATGGACAACGGCTACTGCACGCCCAAGGACGCCAAGGGGACGCTCTCGCCGTACTGCCTCAACTTTGGCGGCCTCATGAACACGGCCAACATTGGCCCGTACGTTGGCGGTGAGACCCGCGGTACGCACGACTTTGGTAGCTACCCGGACAACGTCTGGTTCTCGTTCCCGAACTCGTGCTACACCAAGACCTTCGACCAGAAGGACGACGCGTGCCGCAAGGCGCAGAAGGGCGGTCTCTGCCCCCTTGGCACGCAGCCCGATGGTGTCACGTGCACGTACTCGTACGAGGTGCTCGGCTACCTCTTCATTGACGACCTTGTCGGTATCACCAACATGACGAGCTCGCAGACGATGCAGCCGTACAAGAACCGCGTCGAGTTTTGCAAGGACTCCAAGATCGAGTACGATTTCAACGCCAAAAGTCGGACTTGACGTTCTGGAACGACCCGCTTAACATGACGGCCAACCAGGAGCGCACACAGAAGATGCTGGACTTTTACTGGACTTTTACAACGACCTCCTCACGACGGGCGCCGGCGACGCCAAGCACATGAAGCCCCTCCCCAAGGCCTCGGACCTCACGAAGCTTAACCCGCCTTGCTACGCCAACAGCCCGATCTGCGCCAAGGCGACGTTCGGCTGCCGCCGCAAGCTCATGGCCCAGATCTGCGAAGTGTGCACGACGGCTGCGCCCGACTGCGTGGTCATGCCTGCCAATGCCCCGAACGCGGTCCCGCTCACGCTCAAGAAGCAGTACACCCCGCCCGCCCCCACGGATGCCAGTGGCAAGACGCTCGTCCCCGGCACTGGTGGCAACGGCAACGGCGGTACCAGCTCGGCCGCCTCGCTCGCTCTCTCGGGCGCGGCTCTCGTTGGCGCGTTCGCGATGATGATGTAAAGAAACTAAACATTTGATAATACGTATTCGTCTCGACTTGAGTTGTACTTGTCGCGCGAGCTTGCCAGCTCAATTCTGGCTTCAGATGCAGCAGGGTGGCATGGGCTTCCTAGTGTCCAGCTTTCCGTCGCAGCTGCCCTTGCTGCCGTTCCCACGGCAACCCAAATCGCCGCCGAGAACTGGAGCTGTCCAGTTAACCGCAACCATCACGCAGTCGCCGTCGAGAACTGTCGGCCGCAACCGTCGTCATGCAGGTGACGCCGGTTGGCTCGGAGGCGCTGCGATCTTGCATGCCACTTGTTCTTCGACGACCTTTCTGCAACCACCATGGTCACGACATTCTAAACATGCAACTTCAACATCCGATTACAGAGGTTTTGGTAGTGACATGACAGCATTTAATGGATTTCTTCGACTATTTACTGTACGTTGGTATGCGTTTTCACAAGAGATGCTCTTTGAGCGGTTTTACAAGTATACAAACCCCAAGAGGGGTCGACCTGACGTGGCGCAGCGAATGTTCGATGCTTGTGAAACGACGCGGCCCACGTGGTCCATTTTGCTTCGACCTGCTTCAGCATGAAGACGCGCTGTCTTGTCGCGATGAGCCTCCTCGCTGGCGCGGCCGACGCGCAGAACGAGTGGGCGATGACGTCCGTACGCTCGATCCAAGCCCGCGTCGTCTCGGTCGTGCCCGTCTGGGACGAAGCCAACCAGGCGTGGGTCTCCTCACGCTACAACAACAACATCAAGACGTTTGCCGACCAGTACCGCGCGACGCTGGATACGGTCAACACGGCGTCGGTCGAAGGCGCGCTCATGTACGTGCAGTCGGAAGGGATCGACCAGGGCATCGTGCCCGGCTGCCTCCGGAAGACCAACATGAGCTACGTGTGGTTCTTCGACATGCACATTGTGCAGCCGACGTTTGGAGTCGCGCAGTATGCGACCGACACGTCCGTGTACCCCGAGTACTGCCCGTTCTTGGCGATGGATAACGGCATGTGCACGCCGACGTCGGGCACGACGCTGCCCAAGGCGTGTCTGCAGCTCTTTGGCGGCAACGGCCAGCCCAACATTGGTCCGTGCATTGGCGGCGAGAACCGTGTCGACAACCCGAAAGCGCCGTACCCAGATAATGTCTGGTTCTCGTTCCCGGGCAGCTGCATGACGCAGTCGTTCACGGCCAAGACGGACGCGTGCCGCACGGTCCAGAAAGGCGGCGAGTGCCCCTTCGGCGTCCTCCCCGACGGTGTCAAGTGCACGTACTCGCATTCGATCTTGGGCTACATTAGTCTCGACGACCTCGTTGGCATCACGAGCCTCACCAACCCGCAGACGAGCAAGCCATACACGAGTCGCAACGAGTTCTGCCTCGCCGATGGCGTCGAGTACAACTCGGTAACGGGCAAGCACCTTCCGTTCTGGAGCGATCTTCTCAACACCAGCGCCAACACGGCCCGCAGCCAGGCCATGATTGACCTCTACGCCTCCGTGGTCGCGGACCCGGTGAAGGGCGCCAACATGAAGCCGCTGCCGTCGGTTGCGTCGCTCCAGGCGGCCAACCCGCCGTGCTACCTCAACAACCCGCTCTGCTCGTCGGCGCAGTTTGGCTGCCGGCGCCGCCTCCTCGCCCAAGTCTGCACCGTCTGCACGTCGCCCGCCGCCGACTGCGTCGTGCGCCCCGCCGGCGTCGCGCCCTTTCCGACGCTGCAAAAGGCGACAAGCACCGCGGGGTCGGCGACCGGTAACGTGGGCGACAGCAACGCTGCGTCGACAGCGACTCTCGCAGCGTCCGTCGCCATGCTCTCGCTTCTCGCGCTCGTGCGCTAAGCGGCGGTGATTTTCTGGATTTCTGCATAAATAATACGACCACGAGAACTTTCTACGACGACTCGTTGCTGTTGTGGGGTCGCGGCGACTCGAACTCGCAGCCGCTTTGGATCGTGGGCAGCACTGGAAAGGTCTTGAGCGTCGACCGTCGGTGCTTCTTCTGCGGCGCAAGCACCTTCTCGACCTCTTCGGGCTTGTCGTCGACTTGCTTGAGCACCAAATCGAGCGCCTGTGTCGCTTGCTCGCGATGGAGAAAGCTCGCCCAATCCGCGCCGAGCGCGTCCACCTGGAAGTGCGGGAGAACGTCGGCCACGAGGCCTCGCAGAAGCTCTTCGCGCAGTGGCACAAACCAGACGCGCTCAATGTCTTGGTCGGCCACGTCGACGTGGTACTTGCGGTTGGCTTCAAACAAGCCAAAATAAAGGTCCTTGAGGCGTGCACTCATGCGCCGCAGCGGCAGCGGTGCGTCATGGCGCAAGTACCGCCGGTACACATACCGCGGGTCGCTCTCGTCGCTCTCGTCCTCCCTAGTCCATAGCATCCGATTACTTTTATCGCCAAGAACTGAGGAATCTACTGGTAATGCACGGTCGCGCGCCACACGACGAGTTGGTCGTAAACGCATTCTTGCCGACAGAAGGCGCTGAACGCCGCGTAGCCCGTTGACGTGAGCAAGTACGTTTCAAGGAGCTTCTCCGAGCCATTGAGGCGTGCGAGCGGCGTGTGTCGCTTTTCCTTGAAGCTGAGTAGGAGCGGCCGTAAAATGTACACAAAGACAATGGACTGGACGCCGATCGCCGAGAGGGCTGGGTCGAGCTTGTAGTTGAGGACGACGTCGTTGTCGCGGAAGACAAAGAGGCCGATCGACCCGATGTAACAGACGCACCACAGCTTGTGCGCGTGCAGGTAGGACGCCCGTAGCCCAAAGTTGTCGACCAAATTGCTCACAAAGTACGTCGCGATACCGCCGAGGCAGAGTAGAAGGCCGAGCTGCACGAGGCCCAACGCTTTCGTGGCGGTCTGCGGCACCGCGGGGCACTCGGCGACCGTCGCATTTGCCAACGCATCCGCAAACGAGTAGAGCAAGCCCAGCGACGGCGCACTCCAGAGGCCATGGCCGAGGACCCAGACGACTAGCACGTTGGTTGGTTGGACCACTTTTCATCGCTGCTGCTCGACGTACCCGTGAGTGTGCGCGACTGCAGGGCGATGTGCAGAAGCCGCGCTTGCTGGGGAGTGTGGCCTTCCGTGTGGATTTGCACGAGAAGCTCCGTGAGATAAAAAGTCGCCACGACCGCAACCTCGGAGAGGAAGACGCCAAAGGTCGTAAAGTGAAAGAGCCCGTTGACGAGGCTCAAGTACAACCCGCAGTCGAGGGCCGACCCGAGCAGGACAAAGAGCAGATCAATGTAGCAGTAGATCGTCGCCATGACACCACATATCTGCTCGGCAACGTTTGAGCTGCTCTCTCGTGGATGATAGTCCGCGTACCGTCATTTGTATTGGATTTCGATACCGAATCGAGGGCAGGTCGCGCCGCGCATAGAAGAGTCCGATCGTAAGCGGCATGTAGATCATAAAGATGAGGAGAAAACCGAGGAGGTAGTCGGACGCTGACGGGCTCCACGACGCTGACGGCGTCACCGTGTTGCCTGACCCTACCGGCATCAAGACCAAGTGCAACATGGGCAATCCGGCGTCTATTTATAGGCTGGTCATCTGAGTGGCGCGCTTCAGATGCGCGAACTTGCGCACCTCGCACATGTGTCTCCCGCGCCAGGTCGTGGACCGGCGTGTGCCTCGCGATCCTTCTTCATGTCCACTTGCTCGGGAGCATTGGTGTTGCAAAAGGCGTTGTCCAGCCTGTGGGCGAACTTGAGGTTCGCGCACTTTAAAGTTGGCGCCGAAAATGGGCGTCTATGTATAACACGCAACATGAACACGAGCGGGTCTGGTCCGAATTGCGGTCCGTTCGCCTCGAGTAGCTACAACATGCCAATCAGCGTTGTGTGCGTTCACTTTATAGCTGGCCTGTACATCCCGCTCTTCCTCGTGCTCTTTGTCCGGCGACGCCACTTGCCGTCCGTGCGACAGACCAACCCCGCCCACGTCGTCGTCATTAGCACGTTTGGCGGCATCTACTGCCTCGGAACCCCCGGTGCGCTTCTCATCTACGATGTGTGGCCCATCTCGATTGGTGCATACGCGCTCGTGGCAACCGCGAGTTTTCTCTGGACGATGTTTGCCGCCTTCTCGTCCGATGTCGTCCTCGTTTGCACCTACTTTCAGTCGAAATGGACGGTCGACATGCACACCAACATGCAATCAAGCGTGCCGTCGCATCATTTCGTCGCTCGATGCAAGCTCCTCCAGCGCGTCTTGGCTCCCCGCCCGCTCCTCGCCTTGTCGATTGTGCTTCACATCCTATGGACGCTGCCGTACCTGCTGCACATACTGCTCTCGGCCGAGCCCTCCTTTTGGCGCATCAAGACATCCTGGTCCGCGCCACTGGCTGCCGACCTCGTGCATGTCACCGTGCTTCAGTGCGCCTTCTTGCTTGCCGGCACGACGTTCCTCGGATACCTCCTAGGTAGCGTCAACGAAGCATTTGCACTGCGGCGCGTCTATGTGTCTGCGGCCCGCGGGATCGCCGCGTGTTTTGTCGGGTACCTCGTGGCCGCTTTGGTTGTGCCATCGACGAAGGAAACGCTGCGTACGACGCTCGCGACCAGCATCACGCACATGGCCGTCCATGTGGTTGTCCTGCCGCTCCTCGTGCGGCCAGTGCTACGGAGTCGTCATGAAGCGGTCTTGGCGCTCGCGCCCGCTCACTTTAGGGACAAGGAGTCGTGGGAAGCGATCAACGCCGATTTACTAGCGCTCTTCCTCGCGACCCCGGACGGTGCCGCGACGTACCTAGCATTTACGCAGGTGCAGCTCCTCCCCGTCGCATGGCTCCTCGCCTACCGCGACATCAAGTCGCGTGTGGCGACGCCCCAAGCGCTCTACGATGCGTACCTCCAGACCGATTCGGTGCTATGCATGCGCGCCTTTGTGCCCGAGGCCATTCGCGGCGAGCTCGACATGACATTTGCGCGCAACGTCCTTGCCTCCAAGAGCGATGACCTCTACGTCATGTACGACCCGCTCGTGACGCGGCTGCTTCAGGCGCTCGTGCTGCACACGCTGCCGCAGTTACTTGACCACCCGCTCGGCCACGTATGGCACGCGTTTGTAGAGACGTACGGCGGGCAGTTCAGCGCCGACGACTTGCTGCTCAACGGCGCCGGCTACCTCGGGCCGTTTGGCGTGCGCCGCCCTTTGGGCACAATCCACAGCCAAGGTACTCTACTGTTTCAAACGAGCTCAAGGGCCACATAGCGACATATGTCTCGTCGCGCTTCTCGTCGCGGCGGCAGTCGCGTTACACCTCGTCCCGCGTCTCCATGGCCAACTAACATGACAGGAGAGAGCGAATGTTCAGCGCTGATGTTGATAGCGGGGGTTATTAGCCGCGCCAGACGCGCCGGACAACGTTGTTTTCCGTGTCAAAGTTGAGGCGGTGCGGGTGGAAGTCGCGCGTCGCACGCCCGTTGACGCAAATCTACGCATCATCGATTTGCATGAGCCTCGGAAGGGACGAGTTGGCGTACGCGATAGGGCGAGTACGATATGTCTTCTTCGTAGACGCAGGTCGCGTCATCGCCGTCGCGCGCAGTGGTCGGCTTGGGCACGAGCGTCTTACCGATCCACGCCTCGTACAGGTCGAGGACCTCGGCAGGGACTTCGTCGAACGCCATGGCAACGGATACAATCCGGAAATGGCCTTTCTGGTGAAATTTGTCGGCATATGCCACATTACCGTTGGTTATTTTCGGCATCTTGAAGTTGCCGCTCGGTGAGCTGGCTGCGGCCATGGTGCAGCCCTGCAGATATGTTCGTATACTACTACAACGTGTCATTTTTCATCAACACCAGAGCAAGTCAGGGTAGCACCCTCTACAGCTCCACGCCACACTGGTTTGTGAGGGAAGCGCGACGGGAGAGCCGCAAGATCTTATTTGAGCTGAGGTAGGACAGCAATGTCGCCATCGCGTGGTCGGTTATGCTGCGGTGCCAAAGCACTCTAGTCGTCTTCTATTGCGTGGTCGACAACCCGAGCATTCATGAAGGCAAGTCGTCGCTCGATGCACGTAACATGCGCGAATACGCTGCCAACGAAGCCGTCAATCGCATCCAGCACTGTACAAACTTACAAACTTTTCGACGAAACGAGCAGTCTCATCTCGCAGCGAATTCAATAAGTTAGTTAAAGGTCAACTCGGACTAGGACGGAACGTTGGAGCTGTCGGGGGCGCGCGTTCGGACGGGCACGACGCCTCGGATGCGGCAGACGTCCATTTCGTGGCAAATGTCGGACGGGCGCGGGTCAAACGTCGTCACGTACGCTTTCATCGCAAAGACACCAAAGAGGCACAGCACGCACGCCAGCAGCGCCAAGAGTCCGTTGGTTAAATTCGGCACAAGCCACACGACGCCGTAGAAATTGGCGCCAAACGCCACAATGCTGGAAAAGACGTACGCCGAGCTCACGTACAAGAAGAAGCTGACGACGAAGCTGCCGAGTGTGCCCCAAAACCAGCACTTGACTTCGAGCGCGAGTCTACGCGATGAAAAAAATTGATACATTGATACGTTCAAGGCACGTACCGAACGTTGGCGATGAGCACGACGATGCCGTTCATGACAAAGCCGAAGTCCCAGAGCCCTTCGTCGCCGCCCGACGCCGCCATCGGTCCATACATCGACGCACCGACGTGCACGAAAAGAACAACGAGCGACGAGAAGGATGCGTCTCCGATCCATATCCAGAAGAGCCGAATGCTCACAAACGACTGACTCGAGTAGAGCGTCGGGAACGCGAGGGACGTGCCCGCACTCACATCTTGGTCGTAGACGCTAAAGAGCAAGATCGGAAGGGCCGTGTACCACACGTTGAAGAGCTGGTAGAGCGGATCGTAGTACGTCGACTGGCCCGAGAAGAGACAGTAGATGCCAAAGAAGAACTGCGGCAAGACGAGAAGCACGTTCTTGTAAAACATGTAGAGCGTCAGAATGGCCATCCGCCGGTTGATCCAGCGGCCGTGGACTAGGAGGAGGCGCTTGAGGCACTGAAACTGGGGAATCGCATAGTCGCTGGCGTTGGCCGCCTGCTGGCCTTCGGCGCCCGAGATACCAATGCCGATATGTGCCTACAGCAGCATCGTCGAGTCAGGGAAGCAAGAGAGAGCATCAAGGAGCGACCCGCTGGATCATGGGCACGTCGTTGGCACCGTCGCCGATCGCGAGTGTGATCACGCCCGTCTTGCGCCGGACGAGATCGACGATAAACTCCTTTTGCTTTGGCGAGACGCGGCAGCAGAGGACGCTCATGCAGCGTTTCGAGGCGGCAATCATTCCTTTTGCAGCTCTTCGCGGGCGCAAATGAATTCGAGCGCCACATCGTCCATGAGCAGCGCAAGCTCCTGCGACGAGGACGACAATAGCATGCTCTGAAACAAATCGCTGATCGTCTCGGTCGGCGGCTTGGCCGACGCATCGAGCTCTGTGCACTATCGTGCGATACGCTCGTCGACAAGCGGAGAGTCGTACCTTTGGAAGAGATTTGAAAGAGCTTCATGTCCGACGAAAGCAGCCGGGTTGCATGACCAATGTTGACAGCCGTGTCCGGCCGGTCGCCTGTGAGCATCCACACTTTAATGCGGGCTTGGCGAAAGCACTCGAGCGCGTCAGGCACACCGTCCTGCAGCCGGTCCTCAATGCCTGCACACATCGTACGCTTCCTCTTTTGAGCAGCATGTTCATACCTGTGATGCCAACCAGATCCAAGTTGGTTTCAATCTCGGCGATGATCGGGTCGAGGTCTTCGTCCGAGCACTCGGACGACGTCTTGGCCACTTGGTACTTGTCGTGCCACGCCTGGTATACGTCCTGGGGTAGCTCTCGCTGGGCAACGCAGAGTACGCGGAGGCCCTCGACCGCGTACGTCGACAGGTGCAGCTTCATCGCCGACCGAACACTTTCTTCCAAGGCGGACGCTGGCGACAGAGCTGGCAGCACGACCGAGTCGGCGCCCTTACACAGCAAAAGAAGTTCTGTGGAGCCGCGTTCGCGCACGACGATCGAGCTCTTCTTGCGCTCGCTTGAAAACTCAAAGACGTGGAGCACGTCAAATGTGACATCGTGCCCAAAGCGCCGGATGCAGACGCTGGTGGTGTCGTGGGCAAGGAGGACGATGCCAAAGTGCTTGGCGGCGCTCACGAGCGCCTCTTCGTCCGGCGAGATGGACGAGTAAACAATTTCGCCCGACGCCGCGTCGACCACGGGTACCACCGCGCTGTTGACAGCCAGGTTGGTAAAGAACGCGATGGCGCGCGGGTCGTGCTGCTCTTGCATCTACGGTTCCATGTGGGTCACACGCGTGAGCTGCTACAACGTCACCTTGAGCAAAAGTGCTTTGTCGTGGATGTTGACGTGGATGCCGGACCGGCGCGGCGAGTTCTCGTCGACGAGCGTCGGCTGCGCCTTGGTGCGGTAGTTGCGGAAGAAGGACGACGTGCGAGGGCTCGGCTTGGCGCACGAATTCATGCGCGGCGAGAGAGAAGGGTCCGGATACGGGTCGTTGGAGCCGTAGCTCACGCCGTCGATCGCACACCGACGAAATTGCATATTATTGCACGTGAGCGTGCCCGTCTTGTCGGTAAAGATGTGTTGAATCGCACCAAGGTCCTCGTTCAGGTCGGACGAGTGCACCTACCATTGTTGTCATGTTGGTTGCGCTCGTCGAGACACGTTACCGTAATGCCCACGTCGCCGTACGTCATGCCCGCGTCTCGCTGCAGCACGATCGCTTGGAAGAAGCGCGTGATATCGACGGTCACTTGAAGCGAAATCGGCACAAAGTTGGAGAAGAGCAGCATGTAGGTCAGAAAAAGGTAGAACGAGTCGAGCCCCGACGGGCTGCTCGAGAGCTGCAAATACGGTGGGGACGTCCACGTCGCGCTCTGAACGCACACGGCGATGATCAAAAGCACAAGCTGCAAGACGACGATGTGCAGCGTCATGCGGTTAGTCAGCGACGAGAGCGTGCTCGACTTGAACGGCGCTTCCCCCGAGTTTTGCTGGATCTTGGTGTCACCGCCCGTATAAATCTACGCGCAGCATCATGTCAAGAGACCGCGTCGCCGAAAAATTGACGCACCGTGAGCCCGATGACCCACTCGGTGTCGCGTAGCAAGACGCCGCGAAGGAGGAGGTTGGAGATGCCGAGGCTGATCTTGGTGTCGGTAGCTTTCGGCATCACAGTGCCTTTGAATCGGTCCAGGCGCCGATTCGGCACTTCAACTTCGATTTTGGCGCCGTGGATCTACCCAAGGATGTGGAAATCAAGCAGATGACGCTCTAGTACCAGATGCCAGAGCGCCGGTGTCGACGGTGTGGGTCCGCAAAGGTCTTTCTCGAGGCCCATGAGCTCGGGGGGCACCCATCGGATCTTGAGGTTCGTCTCGCCGTCCAGGTTGGCGGTCATTGTAAAGCACTGTCCGATCGAGCTGCTCGTGCCCAGCAGAATCATATCCGACGGAATCATTTCGCCTTGGGCGACGCGGACAACGCTGCCAACGCGAAGGGTTTCCCACTTGACCACTTCAAAGGCCATCGAGACAACGTTGAGCTAGAGACGCATCAGGATCGACCGCGTATACACGCAGCAGTACTTGGTGCGTCACGGAGCTGTTCTGAATGCGGTCGGCGTTGTGGCGGTGGACGTCTTCAATCAGATCTTTGATCGCGTTGATGATCAGCACGAAAAGAAGGGGCACGATCGTCGTGGGGATGCCGCTCGAGAGCGTGACCTGCGGCACGATCTGGAGAATCGTGATGAAGAGGAAGTAGAGGTTGGCAAAGCGTGAGAACTGCTTGAAGAGGTTCTTGACCAAAAAGTTGTACGGCGTATAGAGCGAAGTCTCGACGCGGTTCGAGGCCAAGGCCGCCGAGAGTGCCTCGGGCGCCTCGACGACAAAGGCGCGCAGAGCGTGTATGTGCCGGCCGCTCATGCTGGACGACCCGTGCTGGTCCAGCGGCACTGTGCGATTCGACATCCCGCGGGCCATCCACGCACACTGCCTTTCCGTCACGGCGGTTGTTGGAGCGAATAACGCGTTTCGACACTATAATGGTAGCGGGACAGCCCTATAAATAGGGCCAAAACGACACTGGCTCCGCGCATCTAGTTAGTGCCTCGAAGGCTGCTCGTTGTGTAGGTACACTGCGCCGCAGTAGCTTGATGCGCCTCGCGTCGGCTCGTCGCCGCCACGGACAAAATGATTGACGATCTTAGCGGCTTCGAAAAATGGCGATCCAGCCAATCAGATGACGTCGTGAAAGATTGAGGCCGATTTTTTCGTGTATTTTTATTGATTTCACACATGTATACTACGTAATATATGCGGGATTGTTCGTGTCGATTCGAAAAACGTGAAATGCGGAATAATAATATGCACGACGCACGCAATCGCAGTGAACGTCAAGAGCAGTGGCAGGCATGTGGCGGCGCGGACTCCCGACCGCGCTTGGCCTTGGCCGCCAGGTGCTTCTGCGCACGACGACGGAGCCCCATCGTCTTCGGCGCTTCCAGCCGCTGCCGTTCGTCCGATGGAATGCCAATGGCCCCAGCGTGCCGAGCAACCCGGATGCGTCCACGGACGAAGAGGACCTGGAGCAGAAAGAAGTCGAGACGCTCATGCAAAAGGTCCTCGCCCAGTCCAAGTACTTCAAGGAGCACCCGGAAGCAACAGACAGCAATGGCCTCGTCGACGTGCTTACAGGCGGGCGACTTCGCGCACTCGAAGACGTCAACAAAGCCTACTACCCGGGAAAGCAGTTCAAGCACACGTCGCAGGACATGGTCATCCGCGCCATGGTCGGCAACACCGCCATCACCGTGCTCAAGTTCCTCGCGTACCTCAAGACGGGCTCGAGCGCACTTCTGTCCGAGTCGATCCACTCGCTCGTCGACACGGGCAACCAAGGCCTTCTCATTCTTGGCCTGCGCCAAGCCTCCTTCCAGCCCGATAAGAAGCACCAGTACGGCTATGGCCGCGCTGCGTACTTTTGGTCGCTCATTTCGGCGCTCGGAATCTTCTGGCTCGGCGCCGGCGCCACCGTGAGCCACGGTGTGCCATCTACCGAGCTTGTCATCACACCTCAAACTATGGTATAGGGATCCAATGCCTCGTCCACCCGCCGACGCCCGACGAGCTCGTCTTGACGTGGGAGGTCTGGGCGGTCCTCGCTGCGTCGTTCGGCATCGACGGATACGTGCTCTCGCGCGCCGTTCGGGAGCTGCGCGCGACCAAGCCCAAAGACGTCTCGCTCTACGAGCACGTCAAGACGATCAAGGACCCCTTCATGATGGCCGTGCTCCTCGAAGACCTCGCGGCGTGCACGGGCGTTGTGATCGCGCTTGGCGGTATCGGCGCCAGCTACGTCACCGGCAACCCGTTCTGGGACAGCGCGGCGAGTATCGGGATCGGCTGTCTCCTAGGCGGCGTCGCCGTCTCGCTCATTCGCATGAACCAGCGCTTCCTTTTGGGCCAATCTGTCGACGCGGGTGCGTGGCCTGCGATGCGATGGTGTGATATTCTATCCTGTCGCGTAGAGATCGAGCAAGGCATCAAGGCACTTCTGCTCTCGCGGCCGTCCATCGACAACGTGTACGCGGTGCAGTCGCAGTGGGTCGGGCCGTCCACGTTTAGCTTCAAGGTATGTGCATCTCGTCATCCTTTTGGTCACTGAAGGAGATACCTACTAGGCGGAAGTCGACTTTGACGGCACTTACATGGCGGCGCAGCTGCTTGAAATGTACGTCGCGGCCCACGCGCATCGGGTGAAATAGAGGCGCGTAGCTACAAACCCGTGTTCCTCGAGGCCAAGGACCTCAAGGCCGACCTGCCGCTTCTCCTTGCCTGGTACGCTGAAGACGTCACGCGCCTCGTCGAGAAGGAAGTTCAGGAAGTCGAGGCCGAGATTCGGTACATGTCTCATACATTGTGGATGTTTGTCGTCATGCAGGATTGCTTAGAGCGCTCTACCCGGAAGCTGCGTTCATCGAGCTCGAGCCAGATAGCAAAGACACGGACATGCGCGCGCTCTCCAACCTCGGTACCAAGTCGTTCCGAACCAGCGAGCGCGAAGCCATGTCCCGGGCACTCGCCCACCTGGCTCGGTCACTGGAGCGAAGTCAGTAGCTAGTAGACCCGACTCTCGCAAAGAAAAAGAGGCGATTTGATGGTAGCTTTGCTCGCTATCGAAGCAATGCAAGGAGCTGGAGTGGTGGCTCACGACTGCCATAGCATTCTTCCACTGGACGAAGGATCGGCATGGGTACAATGGTGGCGATCTCCGAAGCTACGTACGACGTCCGAGACCATCCATCGCAAGAGTGAACCGCACGAGCTCGACTCGAAACACTCGGTGCCAGTGTACTACTCTGTAGAGGTGACAACCGTCGCGCGCGTCTACTTCTGCGGACTGCTTTCGGCGCAGTCGGATTGGTCGCTTGCGCCTGGCCGCGTGCCGATCGATACCTTGATAGTCGCTTGATACTTTGACGAGGTACACGCGAAGAGCCTCCGCACCAAGTCCTGATCGCTAATCGGATCGTTGACGAGTCGCTGCTGAGGAAACTGCGGACTGAACGCCATGCGACGACGGTGGGTGCCTCACCATACGCAGGACAACGGGCGTGGTCGCCTTCCGCGCCGGCCACCGTCCGTGGTGCCACCCAGTTCTGGCAATGGGTCGTCAGCATCATGCCCGGTCGCCGCCAGTGCGCGCACAGAGCGCTGCCGAGTCGCGTCATTCCAGTGTATCTACTCGAGAAGGTTGTCATTATTGCATGTATCTTCACCCGTTGCCACACTGGCTCAGAGCACGCAACTCGTCGCCACTGGCCATTTTGGTGCACCACCTGCATCGTCGCTGGACAGCTGACGGAACAATTCCTGCTGCGCGCTTCAGTGGTTGGCGCCCGCGCCACGAGCAGCGGCAAGTAACCTCGCCTTTCTCGAGCCGTTTGGGTACTCACCCATGTGATGCGTGATTTTAGCCACATCATGTTACCGTCATTTTCCCGATGGGCGTGACGGAAGCGTCGCCGCTGCTTGGCCCTGACGGCCTCGAGAAGGCGTCTACCTCGGTCCTCCGCGATGAGCTCGCGCAGCTCCTCACGCTCATGTACCCCGTGGTACGCCATGCATGCTGGCGCATAGGAGGATGATCTCGCCCGCATTAGACGTTGACGTTCTTCCTCGAGTATGCGCCCGGCATTGCGACGCTGCTGCTCGTGGGCCACTACCACGACCCGATCGATGCGTCCAAGGACAAGCTCCTCCTCGACGCAGCGGCGATGGCGATCATGTACCTCAACCTCACGGGGCTCACGATCGGCCTCGGGCTTGCGTCCGCGATGGACACGCTCTGCTCGCAAGCCTTTGGCGCCCACAAGCTGCATGAGATCGGTGTCTTCTTCCAGACCGGCGTCCTCGTGCTCGGGTACATCCATCTTCCTTGATCCTATACGTACGATGCGCTTACGGTAGCGCCGCCATGGTGCCCATCGCGCTTCTCAACTGGAACTGCGCGGCCATGCTCGTCTGGTGGCGCCAACCCGAAGACATTGCCGCCGACGCCGGCGAGTTTACGCAAATCATGCTGCTCGGCTTACCCTTCCTCTTCCTTTACGAGCTCCTCAAGAAGGTGCATCCGACGAGGAGGACTGCTAGGCTGATGGCCATGCGTAGGTGCTGCAAGCCCAAAACATTGTGCTCCCGATGCTCTACTGCGCGATCGCGGCCAACCTCCTCAATATCGGCCTTGGCTATTTATTGGTGTACCACACGTCGCTCGGATACGTCGGCGCCGCCGTCGCCCGGAGCGTCGCCAACGCCTGTTTGCCCGCGACGCTGCTCTTGTACCTGCACGTGTATCCTTCGGCGTGGTCGTCGTGCTGGCCAGGTCTGTTGCTTGCATCCGATGCGGGTATTCACGTCTGTGCATGGCATGTAGGCTGGCAGCTGCGCAAAGCGGTGTCTCAAATTCCCAAATTTGTCGCCCTCGGTGCGTCCGGGCTCCTCATGGTGCTCTTCGAGTGGTGGAGCTTTGAGCTGCTCGTGCTCATCGCCGGCGTCCAAGCCAACGCCGCCGTCGCCATTGGCACGAACGCCATCCTCGTCAACCTCACAAGTTGCACGTACATGCTGTACTTTGGCATCTCGACCGCCGCCAACGTCCGCGTTGGCAACGCGCTCGGCGCCCACGACCTCCGGCGTGCGCACGTGGCCGTCGTCTGCGCCCTCGGTGTGGCCGCCTGCGCAGCGATTGTTGTGGCCACGAGCCTCTTGGTGCTCCGCCCGCACCTCGCCTCCTTCTTCACGTCCGACCCCGACATTGCAGCGTACGTGACTTGAACAATTCGCCAAAGTGCGTGCACCCAGATTTGCTGCTGCGTAGGCTCGTGGCCAAGGTTGCGGGGGCCATCGCCATGTACCAGATCGCCGACGCGTGGAACACGACGATCCAGGGCGTGCTGCGCGGGTGCGGGCTCCAGATGACGGGCGCGGGCCTCAACTGCGTCGCGTATGCTGTCATTGGCCTCCCGTTCGGCATCTTTCTCGACCTCTACTGCGAGTGGAACCTCGTCGGGCTATGGGTGGGCATGGCCACAGGCATTTGCTTTGCGGGCGCCATCGGCACGCTCATCTTGTACAAAGCCAACTGGAACGACCTCGTCCGCAAGGCCCAAGATCGCGTCGAGACATCCTAAGCGAAACAACTCATCTTGCTTGAGTAGCTTCTTAATCTTGCTTGAGGCGCGCCGAGTCGGCCGTACCATCCGCCGTAGCACCTATCCGAGTGGTTCCTTTAGCACACGGCGATATACGCAATCGGGCGTACCCGCAGCGGCCTCGTCCATGTCTTCGTGACGGCGCGCCGTGTCCACAGGGTAGATCCAGCGCTGGTAGAGGTAGATGAAGAAGACCACGTCGTCGCGAAAGCAGCTACAGCAGCATTACGTTGACGCATCCTTCCAAGGATGACGCTATCGACCTGATGCGGTGCATCGTGGGCATCGTGATGATAAATGCAAACAAATCATCAATAAACGTGTTGAGCGCCCTATCCAACGAGCGTGCATGACCACGATAGCCCCTCGAGATGATGCATCGTGCTCACCGGTAGATGAGGAAGCGCCACGGAAGGTGCGCGACCGACTGCAGCTTGTAGTTGATAAAGAGCTGCGGTGTCATCATGATAAAGCCTACGCGTGTGCGACATTAGTACCACATCATTGCGTGGACGCAAAATGTACCAAACGTGTACACAGTGCCCGTCAAACTGCCAAGGAGCCACGAGTACCAGCTCGTGTGATCTATGTCAGCAAGAAGACTGTCAGCGTTCTCCTTCAAGGTGCAGCGCACCTTTGTAGAGCAGCGAGTAAACCGAGTAGCCAAGGAGGAGCGGGCAGAGCGCGTAGCTCATGTATCGCATGGCCATGATGTCAATCGCGTCCGTCTACCACGAGATGCATCAATCTTGCGACATACGAGGCACGACGTACCTGCGACGACTCGGGCGCGGAGCGCGTCAGCTCGATCGAGCGGTTGGCCCACGAGAGACGAGGCATTGTCGCGCGGTAGAGCTTCCAAATCTGGATGACGATGCTGATGCCACTTGGCACAAGGATCAAGAGCGTCGTCTCTTGTTCGAGAAGGTACAAGAAGATCTACAAGCATGCTTTTCATCAGCATCCAAATCCTGGCCGCGTCGACAAGTACAATGATCTGAGACACGAACGAGATGACCATGGAGCGCACAGAGATACCAACGAGACTCTGGTTCTCTTGCCAGAACGAAATATCGCTCTTGAACGCAAGCCAGTCAAAGAGCATGTGCAGCAGCGACACGGTCATGGTGACTGCGAGCAGGTACGGGTTCGTATCGGCAATCTAGTCGCAATCCTTAGTAGAAAGCATCGACTACAAAGGGACGTACTAGGGACCGCATTTGATCGAGGTCGTCCTCGCCAAACCCGAGCTCTTTTTGCTGGCTGAGCGCCGAGCCAAACGTGAGCATCATCTGCCACCTATGCAAATGAGTTCGCGACGCATGGCGCAAAATGATGCAGTACCGCGCGTAGGACATGGGTGCATACGAGAGCTTGAGCGGGAGCTCCGTCACGGAGCGGTTGAGCGGCAAGAGCTTCTCGGACGTGAGACCCATCTCGTCCACAAACATGACGGGCAAGTACTACAGAAGATCGCTGGGAGCCTCTGCAAGAAGAGCGAGCGACGAGACGAACCTTCCAATGCCCGTCCACGTTCTCCATGCGGAGGTTGTGGTACACCAGTGGTGGGATCTAGAATGCCTCCGTCGTACATGCTAACGAGACCAAATATCAAAGGGGTACGTCATTGATCGGGTAGTGCTTGAAGGACGTCACAAGTCGAATCGCCATGTGCTAATGGCAATCAATCATAAATGAGGGACGTGGTTCTCGATGCGTGGTCCTACCGGCTTCCAGTACGACACGATCGACTCGGTTAGCGCAGGGTCGTCCCCCATCGGCTCACCCGGAAGATGGATCGGCTCCGACACGTCCGTGGTCGCTACAGGTACAGCTCATGTATCGGTAAAAAGCTCTTGAGCGTGAGGCCTACTGGTTGACGGTGCTCCAATGTAGTACTCTCCAAGAAGACGCGTGGCGTTCTTGAGGTTACGACGGTCGGCGTACTAGAGCAGAAAAATCCACACCTTTCGAAAACCAGATTTATGGATGCGCGGACCTTGGTCAATGGCGTCACTTGGTGCAGCGTGCGAAGCTTGTGGTAGTTGCGCTGGCGCGGGTCGGGCGACGCACCTTTCTGCGTGAGGTGCACATGGAGGTACACGGTGCCTACGCCGCATGATGCCACCTTTGCGCGAGCTACGTCGTCGTACCGTTGTTGCGGATGAGCTTCCAAATCGTCTGGGTGAGCGACTTGGAGCCGTTGCCATCGGACGACGGCCGCATCGAAACGTTGAGGTCCACCGTGCGCTCGTTGTCCTGCCAGTCGAACGAGAGATCCTGGAAGTCGCCGACGAAGAAGACGCGTGAGCTCGTAAAGTCCGAGTTGGTCTACGTAGATGCGCTTGTGTGATAATGCTCCATAGCCTCATGACGTACCCAGTCAGGGCGGCTCGAGATGTAGCATTGTCCGTCGAGGAGCTGGCCTTCCTAGACGACGGCGCTCAGCCACCTTGCGGTATGGGACTGCCAGCCTACCGTCCAGAGCGGGCCCAAGTACGGATCATTCTCGGCCAGAAGAAAGACGGGGAACATGATGCCATAGATCTAGTACGCCGGCAGCATGATGATGTGGCCATGTGGCCATGGACTCCTGCATGCAGTACCTGGTACGTCGTGAAGCTGAAGTAGAGCCCCTGGAGCATGCGCATGAGGAGCGATGTTCATAGAGGAAGGGAAGCGTCGTCTTACGAAGAGGAAGATGGAGACGCATGTGAACGAGCAGAAGCGCAGGGGATTGATCATGCCACTTGTCGGACGCGCGGCAGCTTGTCGGTAAATCCCACTCTAACACGATCGATCACAGTTATTTTGGCGTTATAACAAACATATTGCGTGCAAGCAAGATTTCGACTAAACCGAGAGAGTTTGTACTGACTACTACATCTTCGTCATTGCGTGTTCGAGGCAAGCGAAACTAGCCTAAACTTTCACCTCGATGTATTTCTGGTTGAACTTTTCTCCAATTTGTTCGGTTCTCCGTGAGCTTGCCGCATACTAGTACTTTGAAGAAGCTCGTTGTGTGGTCCCGACACATCGACTAACTATCTATATTGATATTGGACGGGAAGGCGCACTCATATTCGGTTTTGGGTTGCCACAAACTCGAAGGGCAAACTGCAAACCATGGAGTTGGACTTCTCGGGCGGGGACAAGGTAGCGCTTTTGGGCAGTCCGCAGTACTGCCGCATCTGCCGCAGTCACGAGTCTCGTACATCTGCGGCTCCTTGCGAGCACATATAACTATGCTGCACTAGGAGCCACGGACCCGCTCCTCTCAGCCTGCGCCTGCACGGGCTCTGTCGGGAAGATCCACGCCCAATGTAGAACCACGTTGCTTCTCCAAGGCTCTGGCATAGGTCCTCATGGCTAGGTCTGCGCCAGTGGATCAAGTCGCGCCGCATCCCCATCGACCAAGCACTGGCCTGCGAACTCTGCAAGTTGACGTACCGTGTCGTGCTCCGGCGGCGCGTTCGTTGGGACCGCCGGCATGGCTGCAGCTGGGCCTCCTTGGGGTATCTATGTGTCGTTCTTGTCCTCATCGGCGCACTTGTGCTTGTTGCAAGCCTTCTCGTACGGCTGCTGCAAGAGGCCCAGCACGCGCCGGCGGCCAACATCATCCCCGTCATCCTTCTTTTTGGCAGCTCGACCATTGTCTCGCTCGTCGCGGTCTGGCGCATTTTCTGGCGCTGGTTCTACGTCACATCCGTCACGTACGTCGACGCGGCCGACGGTCTCTTCCCGGCCACGGTCTAGCCGTTTGATCTCTGCTGCTATACTTATTGTATGAATACGATTCTTGTCTAAAAGATGCTCTTGGCCGCGGTATGAGTAGAAGAGCTTGCCTTGCATGTACCCACATCCACTATAATGCATACGAGGATGCATGGAGCTCCTCGCGCTGGGAACACTTGGCGCGTGTGGCTCGAGCAGCAACCCATCGCGCGTTCGAATATCGAAAGCGTTGGCTTCGATTTTTTTCTCTTGTGATAAAGTCCAACGTGCAGCAGGACGATGCGACCAACCATCAAGGTGTTCGTCGCGCTCTGTACGTTCTCGCTCGGAACGCTCGTGCTCCTGACGTCGTCACTCGTGCCCGAGCATGGTGCCATCAGCACCCACTTCCTCCGCCACCCCCGCCGCCACATTGCGGACGCGACGCGGGCGTACGTCAGTCGGCTCCTGGCGCCGGCCCGGTACGCGTCGCTCGCTACGGTACGGCATCCTCCGTCCGCTCATATGAGTATACTGTATGTGTAGGCTGGCTGCAACTTTGGCCCGACGGTCGCGGCCTTTGATCCGTTCGATCTGCCGCTGCATTGTGGCAACATGCACGAGCTCAAGACGCACGAAGAACTCGGGAAAGGCTTTTGGCGCAGCGTCCTCAAGGCCACGTGGGAAGGTACAGCCTGCTGTGAGGAACGCCTCTGACGACGACGCGTAGGCAAGCCCGTGGCCGTCAAGGTCGTGCACCAGAGCCTGGCGTGGCGACACAACATCCTCGAGCGCCACGTGGAAGAGGCCGCCGTGCTCTACCAGCTCCGCAATGCGCCACACATTGCGCACCTCGTCGGGTGGTGCAACACGACGATCGTCGTCGAGTACTTTCCACGCAACTTGGACGAAGTGCTGCGCGACGCTACGACGCCGGTGTGGTCAATGACCGAGACGCTGTCGCTGGCGCGTGATGCGGCGATGGGCGTGGCAGAGCTCCATGCGGTCGGCGCCGTCCACGTCGACCTCCAGCCCCGCCAGTTCCTCTACGATGCAGCATCCCACCGCCTCGTGCTCAACGACTTTAACCGCCTTCGGTACGGTGGCCGCAACACGTCGTCGGTAAACGACGTGTGCGAGTTTCACGTCACGATCGCGAAAGGCTTCTACCGCGCACCGGAAGAGTACCTTCTGCAACCGCTGAGCGCCAAGGTCGACGTGTACAGCCTCGCGCTCGTCTTCTGGTCGCTTGTCGCTCGAGAGGCGCCCTACAAGGCGTGGAGCCGCGACGATGTGTACGCCAAGGTGCCCGACGGACTTCGCCCGGATTTGGCCGTGCTAGCACAATACCCCCAAGCGATGCAAGACCTCGTGCAAACCATGTGGGCGGCGGACCCCAGCCAGCGCCCGTCGGCCGCCGACGTCGCCACGCAAGTCGAGGCGATCTTGGCACAAGTAGAACGCGACCCGATCGCGATGTCCTGAGTGATCATTGACAGAAAACCTTCCATCGAGCACTGCATTGCATTGCGAGGTTTCGAGGAACTGCAGCACGCCTTGCACTAGAGATACGTGCGGGTGCGATCGAGGACGAGTGCGCTCGACAGGCGGTGCCGCACACCAGCAACATGCGCTCGGAAGCTAGTGGCAGTGGGTGGGCTCGAGGCTTGTCCGAGAAACGCCGCTACAAGCAGAATGACGCGCCGAAATCTGTGACGATCGGCAGGATCGGGACGCCAGGTACCGGTATGATATATCCTGACGCCGCTCGTGCTACCATGAGCAGGCGCCTCGTCATCGAGTTTGTGGCACCAAACGGAATTCCCTCGGTGGCGCTTGACCGCGGCGTCTGCGTCCAGATCGCTCTCGGTGCATCGAGACAAAGTCATGCCCAGCGACCTCGATCGACTTGCCCTTCACTAGCGCCAGTATTATCCAATACCTTTAACCTCATCCACGCACTCGATATCGCGGCGCATTGGTCGTTGTTGGGCAATGCAATGCAGTATCCTGTTCTGATGTCACGATGTAGAACATAAGGGCAGTTTGAGTAGTCAAATGTGTCGTGTTATTAAGGAAGCGGGATGTATGAGCCACAAACGGTACCGCAACCACACTAAAAAGAGGTGGATACAGCTGAAGGATCAAGTTCGTATGGCTGGTTTCAATAGTCGGTCTGTTCAAGGACCATAGCGAGTCGATGGTTCGCACGACAAGGACTTTTGGATCCAGCGGAGAGCTGCTAGATGTTACGTTCGGTAAAGATGTCGGGAACCATGGAGACGTGTACCAGACCGAATGGCCTCGGCACCGCGCCCTCCAATGATTCTGCATTCGTCTAGGAGCTTTACGGGGGTCAGGAGGGTTAGTCCATGCAGTGGCTACAGATGCCAAGGACCACTGGGATAGACTCCAAGTTGGCTATCTACCATCGTCGAGAGATGTACTCGTCCTACCGCTGGCACTTGAGACCACATTTCTGCGGCCCGACTGGTATGTACACAGTCGACGACTCCAAGCACACAGTATGATCAGAGGTACGAGGTTGTTCTCCCAAAGAAACGGCCTCAGGGACCAGGGGCACGATCGATGAGAATTTGACACTTTGGTTGCATACAAATACAGGTATATAATGGCCGAAAGCTCAGGTAATGAGATTCCACTGAAATTTTCTTCAACGGGTCTACCAACTACGGCAGACCCTGCCGATGTCCCTATTCAGGTTCGTCATTGCTTTCGTTTGTATTTCCTAGTCTACTATAAATACGCTAGTAGCGAGGCGATGGATCTCAGCGATCTTGGTGATTGAATGTCGTCATATTTTGGTCAAGAGTAGCAAATATTTTTTAGCATCCTTGATCCTGTCGCCTGCGTCTACTGATCTCTAATCGAATATCGAGCTAGTGTTGTTTCCCGTCATACAAATGCCTCGTGTGTATTCGCTCACGTCGGTGATACGACGACAACTCGGTGCCACGCAGAACGCGGGGCACCAAGCGTCGACGCGTCAATCAGATTCGTCATCTAGTTTTGTAATCACTGGGAGTCCTATCCTACGAAATGCAAATTCAAAAGTGGGTTCGGTACGAAGTGTGATACCCCAATGGCTCGTAGCAGTCGACTGCTGATTGGTCCGCTCCCGACACCAGAACGCATTTGATTGGTCATCATACTATCCTGCCAAACGTCGCAGCGACGGTTCGCGCCAAAAATGCCCGCCAAGATGGCGCCACCCAACCTTTTCGTTGAGATCTTTCTTCATGGAGCAAGCTCCCGGTACAATAGCTGCAGAGTGATGAGCGATGATAGTCGTCAGCTGTAGCATTCATGGTTTACCGTGAAAGTGGATAACCAATCTGCTAGTGTGAACCAAAGAGCAACGAAACGCGTCTACTCGAATCCTTCCTCCCCAGCTGCTAGTGAGAAAACCTCCGTCTCTCGGCTCGCAAGCCAACCCGATGTAATAACAAGGGCATATCCTTGACATCAGAGACGTCGCGAGATCGAACCGCCTTGCGGATGCAGGACCGATCCAATTTACTGCAAATAACTACACTTGTTGCTCTAGGATGGGTTTGCTTGCAGAAAAGACACCTCATGTACAATCAAGATCCTCTGTTCTACCACTACTTGTAAGCCAAGCAGCTGCGGCGAAACCTGGTGAAGCGGTTTTGAAGCGCAGCCTTTGTTTGTGTGTTTCTAGCCAACCTGCCAGAAATAATTTCCATAGCATTCCAGAACCGCACCCTTTCCAAACCAATACACCTTGACATAGCATAAATCTCATGTACCATGACAACGTATCCATTATTTATATAGACTTTCAAATAATATAACCCTTTATATTAGATCTGGGAATGCGAACTCTGATTTGACTGGTGCACAGCCACTGGCAACGTATCACACTTCGTACCGAACCCACTTTTGAATTTGCATTTCGTAGGATAGGACTCCCAGTGATTACAAAACTAGATGACGAATCTGATTGACGCGTCGACGCTTGGTGCCCCGCGTTCTGCGTGGCACCGAGTTGTCGTCGTATCACCGACGTGAGCGAATACACACGAGGCATTTGTATGACGGGAAACAACACTAGCTCGATATTCGATTAGAGATCAGTAGACGCAGGCGACAGGATCAAGGATGCTAAAAAATATTTGCTACTCTTGACCAAAATATGACGACATTCAATCACCAAGATCGCTGAGATCCATCGCCTCGCTACTAGCGTATTTATAGTAGACTAGGAAATACAAACGAAAGCAATGACGAACCTGAATAGGGACATCGGCAGGGTCTGCCGTAGTTGGTAGACCCGTTGAAGAAAATTTCAGTGGAATCTCATTACCTGAGCTTTCAATTTCACTCCACTCGCACACGAGCTAGATCAAATGACGCACTAAATCAAAACACGAAAACGTTCCATCACTCAAACCGATTCTGGTCTAAGCTTACGCCCAGTTTACGAGCCGATGCAGACTAGAAGAACATGTGGTCGACGTTAGGGTCGCGGTCTCCAGGCATGCGAAGGTGGTCCGGGTCAGGTCTACAGACGAGAGATGAGCAGCCAAATTCTCAGACAAAAGAATAAGGTGCAGGTAGATCTTATACCCTCCGAAAGGCTGGCGCGGCGCCCGACCGCTAGGCTGGTTGGGAAATGGATGCATCGGACGAGGCCCCACAGGTCCGTACGGATCGAAGCGAGCGCCAGGCACGGACCCTTGAAACGCAGGCGGCCCGCCAAAAAGCGGGTGGTTGGGCCCGACCAGCATGCCAGGGTCACGGTGCCCGCCCATGCCAAAGTCTGGCATGATGTCACCACGACCCACGGACGGCATCCGAGGGTACCCGGGCTCCTGCAGCAGCGACGAAGGAGCGGCCGGTGCCGGGCGGACGGTACCGGGCGGCGCATTGGCGGCACGTCACCGAGGGCATCGTCCTACACCGCAACGGAGAAACCGAGGACGGCAAGGTATGTGCCTGTATTACCTTGGGCAAGAAGGACTCGACAAAGCTCGTCCACTGCTGACGGAGGGCCGCCATGTTCTGCACAACGTCGGCCGCGTTGGCGTTCGTCGCTGTGAGGTCGCGGATGTAGGCTGGGGCACTACGCACGGGACGTTAAAGACGATGTTGCCGCGTGATTTTTGCATGCGTACTTGAGCTCGATCGAAGTCACCTTGTCGTTCTCGTCCGTAATGTGCACCGCGAGCGTGTTGCCAATATACAGTGCCTACATGTCGATTCCAATGTAAGACCAGGAATCGTGATGCAGCAGGAATGGACCTTGAGCACAAACGGCCGCGTCGAGCGGCGCAGCTGGAACTGGTAGTTGAAGATGTAGATGCCCTCGGTAGCGTTCTTGTCCCAGTCGCTCGGCACGTAGAGTGCGTCACGCTCGGTGGTCGCTGTGCCAGACACAAAGCCTGCAGAAAACGTCGCGTCAATCCGTGCTGCCTCGCCTGACCGCGAGATATTGTACCTGCGTCTTGCAGGAGAAGGTGCACAATAAGCCCGAGCGCATCTTTCCCTTGCTTCACCACAAGTCCGCGGCTGCGAATGCGCACGACCAAAGGGTCCTCTACGCACAGCGTCGTCGTCGTCGTCCACGACTCCTGCCATTGCGTACCGGTGGCTTCCTTGGCCAGGATAGCATCCAGCTCGGCGAGAGCCTTGAGCATGTGCGTCTACAGACACCATGAGCCATTGACATCACCCACATGAAGCCTCGCGCGGACCTTGACGAGGCCGTCGCCCAAGCGGTCCACGTGCTCCTGGAGCTGCTTCCGATCTTTCTGCGCTTGCTCCATCTTGTATTCCAAGAGCCAAATGCACCAACGCTCGTGCCATAGAATACCGCGATATTTATGTAGCATACATTTCTTCATACGAATGACTTGTATTTAAAAAAGAAACTGACCAATGGCATCACGCCGCCCCGATCCCAGTCCCAGCCACAACCCGATCGAGCACGCCAATACCGGCCACACGAAGTAAGCTGTTGTCTATTGAAGGTGGTCTGGCTCTAGTCTTGGACGGGCTTGCCAGTGCTGGCGTCCAAGGGGCGCCACCACGACGGCACGTACGGCAGCACGTGGTACGCTGCGTCCTTGGTCACGAAGTCCATCGGCTCCGTTGTCAAGTGCTCCATGCGCATCATGGCCACGGCAGCGTTGACGCCTAGCGATACGGACGATGGTACATGTCATCACCACGATTGCAAGCGTACCTGCGGCGACGGTCGCGATCTTGCCAACGCGCGCCTCCGTGTCGGCGCGCAGGATGTGGCTACCAACGTCGACACCCGACGGGATCATCGCCGTCACCTGCGTCATCCACGAGGCGTCGTGCATGCCGTCCGCGAGCGAGAAGCCCGCGGGCGCCGCAGCAGGCAAGAAGAGCACGGGCACGAGGCGCTTGCGAATGCTACCCTTGTAGTGCGTCCGCGCTGTGAGCTCTTGGCCGACGTAGCACCCCTTGGTGAACGACACGCCGTGCAGCATGTCAAAGTTTTGCTCGAGCGGAATCGCATCCAAGTGCTCCAACCTAAGAAACGACTGCAATCGCGCCACGAAGCGTGTGATGGGAGAGGCGTACCCTTCGCATGCACCGAGGAGTATGCGACGGTCACGGTACAGCGTGCTTGCGTCGTCGTCTTGCGCGAAGCCCTCGGGGAGCGCCACTAGACCAAGCCATTAGCATCTCGAGCAAGGCAAGCGTGGAATCGTACATGACGTGGCGGCTGGCAGGATCGCCTTCAAGCCAAAGACGTCGCCACGCGGGTCCGAATACGCCAGCGCGTCGTTGGACGCATCTTGGTTGACGCTCTCCTTCCACTGCTGGACGCGTGCGAGCTCGTCGTTCGTGGCCGTGAGCGACGGCAAGATGGCGTGCAGCGCAAAGTCGTTTTCGACTGCGTCAAACTTGACCTTGGAGCGGAGCTTGTACTTCTTGAGGTGCTTGAGCATATCATTCGAGACAGCTTCGTCGCACGCAATGAAGAACGTGTCGTGCTACGTCAGCTAGCTAAGGCCACGCCTGGCACCATGCATCCTCGTACCGCGGTCTGGACAATCTCGGCGTCGCCGAGGAGCCGCCCCTTGTGGTTGAGGAAGCCGCCGTAGCGCGCGTCGCCACGCGTCGCAAATGCTTGCATGTCGTTGGAGAAGATACCTTGGAGGAACTTGACGACGTCCGCGCCCTCGACGCGGAGAAGCCGCTTCTGCGGCAGGCGCACCATCGCGCTGCGCCAGACCTGTGCCATCGTCGCCTGAGCACTCGTGGAAATGAATCCCGCGGCTTCCGACGCAAATATGGATTTTGGCAGGTTACATACCTGTAAGAATACATGAAGCAAATCTATTTGATGTCACGGGTCATAAGGCCACGTGGCATCGCCAAAATCATCGCCCCCAAGTCGGCCATCGACCATCGATGGCATGAGGATGATCTCGGTTGCATGGACCAGACACGTGCCTGCGCGAGGCTGGACAGCTGCGACGCAACGCACATCGTGGCGGGCAACAAGGACGCTGGACCAGGCTCGCTGGTGGAATCTGATCGGGCCGGTTGGGTGATCCAATGCCTCGTCGACGTGTGCGATCGTTTTCGCCTGTAGGGACATGGGATACTACCACATCTGCTAGCGACGCGCCTCACTGTCCGACGACTACACCTCTTACATACCTGATCGCTGCAGTTCATCTCAGTCGCATCACGCGAAAAGGACTACCTAGGCACATGCACAGTCGAGTGTCAATCTAACAAGACGTGATGCTTGACAAAGGACATTTGCGAGACGCCAGGTGACCGTTCATGCCCACGCTCACGTGATCCTGGCTTTTGAAGATGCTCGACTCCGCAATGACGCTTGTGCACGAAGTGGTGTCGAGTCCATAATCTAAGTTAAGTGTTACATATCTAACGGTAAGCTAACAACAGCACTGAAGATTCATCGCCGGTACACAATGTGGGCGTTGGCACTCGGCGGGTTCATACTGCTCTCGTACGACGCAATGGTATGCTCATGGCGCGCGATCGTGTCTTGAAGCGACCGGATCGTCCATTTGGTCTCGCGGAGCTCTTCGCTCATGATCTGGACGACGCTGGTAAGGTGCCGGACGTTTACACACAGCATTTGCAGCGTCTCTTCCTTGCAAAACGGATCCACGGGCGGCAAAACGACCGGTGCTGGCGGCGCACCGTGCACCGGGTGGTGCATACTGTGGTGCGCGTACGCTGGTGGCGCGCTGTGCGCGTGCGGATGGTGGTGCGGGTGGATCGCATGGCCCGTCGGCGGCGGCGGCGGGTCGATCATTGTCATGTTCTGGCCGTGGCGCTTGCGCTGGATCGAATGGAAGAGCTCCGGGCGGCCGCGTACAAACTTGGGGTGGCGAAACTGGTGGTAGATCATCTGGTCGCCGTTGAAGTGCGGCTTGCCGCGGCTCTTGAGGCGGCGAAAGCCGTAGAAGTTGAGCTGGCGCACAAACGACGAGAACTTGCTGTGCTTGAAGTACATCGGGATGACTTCCGAGGCAAACTTGTCAGCGTTGTAGACGACGAACGAGAGCCCATCAGGTGCCCACGACGCAACGCTCGGCGTACACTGCTCGAGCATCATGTACGTCTTCTCGAGGAACGGGACCGTCTTGGACATCATGCGTTCCTTGTCCTCGCCGTCGGCCTCGACCGGGTTCTTGCTGTGGCCCGGCGTCTCGGTGGCTGTCGGCGTATTGCTGGCTGTGACCGTAGGCTTGGCGCGCTGCGGGCTTTCGTACTCGTCGTCGTCGACGGCTGGCCTTGGTCTTCGTCGTCCGAGCTTGCTTCAACCCACTTTTCTTCGGTCGGTTGGCGGTACGGCATCACGCGCGGCTTCTCGGGCAGCAGCATTGGCGGCGCGAGGCGCGGCGCATGGGGTGGCGACGGCGTGCTCTCGCTCAGAATGTGGCGGTCCATGCTGCGTGATGTGATCGGACTCTGTCAAATTGGCGATTGATGTGCGTTCTTCCAAAACGAAAATTCCTTCTGCAATTCCCCGAGATCCAGACCGTCCAAATGGGTGTTTCGAAACACAGGCGTAACGCGTGTCTTTTTATTCGTCGTTGGATTGGTGGGAAATGACATGTCCCACATCGCAAGCCAATCAAATGGCGTGTAGATCAACGAGCCAGCGCAAGTGAACCTTGAAGTTGCCAAGTTCATACCCAGCATCCACACCGCAAATCACGGAGAGGTGGACAGTCATGCCGGCGCGACCAGCTGCAGCAGGTGCTCTACAGTGGGAGATAGCCGGCCACTAGAACAAGGAATGTCTCCGTCGAGAAGCGTCAAGTACCGTAGGGTACATGACGTGTATCCATTGGTCTCGAGCGACTTACGACCGATCGAAGAAGCGTTCTAGCCCTTGAAAGAAGGAAGGAGAAGAATGGTGTGGGGAGCACAGCCATGCTGGGTACGCCACTCTACCTAGGTACATTTGAGATATCCAACGTGGGATGAGCACCCTCCGTTCCCAGTTGCCTTTCCAGATCAGCCGGTCTTGTTCTCAGGAAGATTCCCTCTATGTGAAAAATGCGAATTCTCACACGCCATCACCGTTACACTGGCGCTGTTCTCAGGTTTGCTCCAAGGGATTTGGCCGCCATAATCATTGTTGCTGGCCACGAGCGGCCGGCACGGCGCTCGCCACCTCTCAACGGTTTCGCTTCTTTCTGTACAGTGATTTCTCTGCTGCTTGGTGCCAGACGCGCACGATAGTGTGCGCGATGAAGGGCAGGTGTGTGTATCGCCCGTCAACGTGGGCTTGCCGTGCTTAGCACCATATGGTTGGATGATTGTGGAGGCGTAAGGAGCTGCGTAAAGACGCTGTTCGGGTCGAAGGCGCTGTAATCATCTTTGGATGGTTCTCATGGACACACGCACCTGCCCTTCATGGATGGCATGCTCCATGTCCCTTGCGCCCCCAGCCAGCCATCGTTTCACCGATCGATCATGCATGCTGCCCTCACCTCGAGCATCCGCCAGCACCACAAAACCATGCACCCGTCGCCAGCTAGAGGTGGCACTGCAACATGAAACTGGTATTCGATAGATGGCGAGCCCTCGTGCAAGTCGTGGTCGTCGACTCGGCGGACTGGCCGACGCTCACACGCAGGTGCGTGCGGCGATTCCGCCGGCGTGAGCAACGTGATCCTGGATGCAATGCGGCTGGCGCACGACGCCCAATCAGCGGACTGAGCTTCCGCACATGTCGCTCCGCGCTTGATCTTTTTAGAAACGTGTCGCTCCGCGCTTGATCTATTTGGAACAGGTCTGGCGTCACCATTTCCCACGTGAAGAAAAAGAGTTTTTCACCGCGACACGCACCCCTTGTCGACGCACCTCGAGGTCGCTTGAGCACGTGTGCATGGAGGAGCGCCTGCTAGATAGCGTGCCAAACGATTCGGGCGCCTAAGATAAATACTATCGCATTGTGCACTGTAAGTCCATCGCAGCCCGCCGGAAGAGCAGTCTACATCGACTCGACGAGCGAAACCGCCGAGCATGCGCACGGCCAAGCCACGGACAAGTGCTACCTCCAACCAGAGATTGCTCCGCGTCGGCCGCGTCATCTCTGTACGCGTCGCATAGCATGGAGTGTGCTGGTGTATCGTGGTCATAGGAAGTCCGCTCGCTTCAAGACGATGCGCGGCTCGAGGAGGACGATGCGACGTCGGCGCGCCTCGCTACAATGTGGCAGGCGAACGAAGCCAAAGTCAAGGTGCGTGCCTCGTGCAGAGTGCGTAATGCAAGACCGTCTTCGTATAGGACGATATGATTGAGACGCTTAGCGTCCGCATCGCTCAGTGTACGCGCGAGAACGAGCATCTCAAGCGGGCCAAGGTACGCCGCTTTCCAGTTCTCCCAATGCAGGCGACCTCTGCGCTTGTAGGCCTCGTTCGACGAAGCCCTGAGCGCCATGGCGCGCGAGAAGGCCGATGTCGAAGCGGCATTTGTCCGCGCCGTGGCGTCGGCAGCAGACGAAGCGGTGTGCCTGAAAACGACCTCCACCGAAGTCAGTTGAGCGCCAACATGGTGCGCTTACCACGCGCTCGAGCTGCCTCCTAATGCGCGTGCGGTGTATTAGGCGCAGGATGCGCTGCAGCAACTCAGGTGCGCACGGTCATGGCAGACACTGTCTGAGCGTGCAAGTAGAGTCGAGCTGCATGAGCTTCAACGACACGCCGAGCGCGACGCGAGCCTCGCCGCCCAGAGAGACGAGTCGGCGATGCAGCAGCACCGCGCGCTTCAATGTCAACTGACTGCAGCAACGACGCAGTGGGAGTCGGAACGCTCGTCACTCCTCTCGCAGCTGGAGGCCGTCCGGGCAGAGCTGAGTGAGGTCTTTTAAAGACGCGCCCTACCGCCCCATTCTCATCGCGTCTCGTAGCTGCAAGCCAAGGTGGCAAGTCAATCCAACGTGCACGAACAGCTCGAGCAGGCACGAACTGCCACAATCAGCTACAACACGTACGACGCGGCGTCTCCAGCGATGCTGATCTTGCCTAGGATCTCATGGCCGCACGCACCGACGAAGACAGAGTCCGCGAAGCCTTACGTGCGATGAGCGAGAAGAAGCAAGCGCTGGACGCAAAAGTGCAAGCCCTGCTCAAGGTCACTGGTCCTTTTGAAAACACATTCCTCATGGCCACGTAGATGGTCCGCGATGAGAATGCAAGGACGGCCGAGGTGGCTGTGACAGTGAAAGCGCAAGCAGATCGTGTGACGCACTTGGCATCGACGGAGACGTCCCTTCAGAAAGAGTGCGCCGAGTGGAAAGCCAAGTACAAGCAGACAAATGCGCACGTCAACAAGCTCACGATCAAGTTGGCGCACGAAGAGAAGGCCAAGACTGATGCCATCGCTGCTCTGCAGGTCCCGCGCCTGCCATTCGACGCAAGGCCTCACGCATTGAGAAACTAGGAGACAAAAACCGCTCTCGATGTTGCCGAGCGGCGCTGCGTCGACCACCTCTTCCAGCTAAAGCAGGCCCAAGAGCAGTGCAAATATCTCACAAGCGTCAAGACATCGGCTCCACCATCCAAGACGTCCACCGATACAGTCGCGAGCCATCCAGAGAGCGATGCACCGAGCTGGATGCGTGACTAAGATCTAGTACATGTCGTGTTGAACGAGCAGGTCATAATGCGGCCCTCGCGCCTATTGCTTTTGCGGTGGCGCAGCGGCCGCCGTAGCATCTTCGTGCTTGCCCGTGCGCCAACCAGGGCAGCGGTCCGCGTCCGCGACGCCTACAAGACGTGAGGCCTTTGTCGCTTCTCTTCACCATGTCGTACCAGCGAGGGCGCTGTCAATATGCTGGCCACAGCCTTGCCTAAGAATGCCATAAGCACACGGCGATCCGAACGTAGCAGCCGATGCGCATTACCACGTCGCCTTCTGGCACACTGCGCAGTTGACCTTGAAGCACATCCTTGTCGACTTGGCTTGGTTTTGGAAATGGCCGAATGGAAGGTTCCCTTGCATCCGGATACGGAGCGGCCGGAGGTTGAAGTTGGCGGATTAGCGATCGACCATGATGCCTCATAGAGGTTGGTTACGAAGCGAGTGGAACGCTGGCACAAGCGACTGCTCTGCGTCGTTCCTCCGCCAAGAGATGTCTCGGCGCCGGGACGGATGGCTCCAGGCGACCGCAAATGGGGCCAGACCATAGATCCTTCGTCGCCACCCTGTCGGCTTTCTCATGCCTGAGCGCTGACCCCACAGTGGATAGGCACACTCGCGTGCAACCACGTTAACTACTAGCTATATGAGGGGGCCAGAGCAGGCGACGAGGGCACTTGGATGGTACCGTAGTGCTCTTGGCACTGCAATGGCCTTTCCTAGCGAAAGACGCCACATGTGCAACACTGGACGCGCAACACCATCAAGAAACGACGTCGTTGCTTCTTGCGTTGATCTGTCCATGTAGTACTACGACTGCAGCGATGTTGGCGCGGTGCTCAAGCAGTCTAGACGTCAATGTCTTGGATCGGTAGGGACGCAACGCGGGCGATGCAGTCGGCGGCGATTTGCTGGATCGTCGCGTGGATCTCTTGAATCGACTTGGTCGCGTCAATGACGTGCCACTTCTCGGTGGCCATAATGCGGAAAAAGTTGTCGCGCACGCGGTCCTGGAACTCGCGCTTCTCATAGCGCTCCTCGCCGTACGCAGATCGCTTGGCCGCGTCTTCGGTCGTAATGTCGAGGAAGATGACAACATCGGGCTTGGGCAAACCAGCTTCGGGCTGCATGCACCACTCGAGCGTCAAGCCCGGCTGGTTCTTGGCCGCCGTGAACGCAACACCGCTGTAGGAATACCTAGCGCGGCGCTGTAGCCAACCGCGGTAATCGCATAGCGTACCGGTCCATGATCACGTGCTGACCCTGTGCAAGGTGGCTTCGCAGCCTGTCGGCGGCCTCCCAGCGGTTGGCGCTGAAGAGCAAGTGGATCGCGCGGTCGTTCATTTCGCAGGCGTTGGAGAGGTACGCATTGATGGTCGAGCCGATCGCAGTCGTCCGGTCGGGAAAGTTCTGGAGGACGCCATGGAGGTGCTCGGCAAGAAGCTTGGCCTGCGTCGACTTGCCGCAGCGGTCGACGCCCTCGAGCAGGATCAAGGCGCCACGCGTTCGAGGTGCTGCTGCTTGCATCGATTTCAACCGCTGTTGTGCAGCTCATTCCCTCTGAAAACAAATATCATTGGCTCGGTACCATGGTATTCATGTCCATCGGTATTCGTGCCCATGCCACCGAATGCCAAATGGTGAGGTTGCTGCAGACTTCGCTGCTATGCATCTACCACCTAGACCACCATGTCTAAAGATTACATACCAAGGAGCTCGGGCGTAGCTTGAAGAGCTGATGCTTTTGCAGGCTAGATCCATGCATGTGTCATCCTCCTGGTCGCTGCGGCAGCCTGACCGGAATAATATCCTGTCAAAATGCATACGGCTTCCGATTGGCTCTTGTTGTATATGTCGCTGTCGATTGGCTGAAATTGGATCACGACGTCGCCTTGCCATTTCCGCAAAAGAATGCCAGCGAAACCCGAGTGCCTCACGTGCAAGCCGGGCAACCCGACCCACCACGCGTCGGCAGTCGCCGCCACGGGCTGCCAAGCCATCTACGAGAAGGTCGACGGTGCGTTCTTATAGCGCTGGCTGGCGTAGGCTCATGCGATCTGCGTAGCGTGCATGAAGCAACACAAGGGCCGCGTCTCCGCCTGCGTCGAGGTTTGCTGCGACTCGAGCCTGTAGGTATTGACAAAACTATGGTAATAGGAGTGGGAAGCCTTCCGCGCGTGCCACAAGAAAGATGGCACGAGTCCCAAGACGACAATGTGATGAGACGATCATCATAAATAGGAAGCGAGTAGAACTAATAGATGACGCCTCGAAGCACGCTAGCAATACGATCGATGGCAATGCAGACAAGCATGACGGCTGCAACGTCGACGCCGGGCACAACGTCAACGACATACTCGCTAAAGGGCGCGGCGGCGGCGCCGTGGCTGCGAATGCGGGCGACAACGACCGGTGTCTCGAACGGGGAGCGGGACATGCTAAGAATGGCGCTGCGTTCGCTCCACTCGCCATTCACGTGAAACGATACTCTACGCGGCAGCATGAACAGTCTGTCCAAACTTCTAGTGCAATGCACCGTTCGCCGTCGATGGACTCGACGACACTCGTGACGGCTGGGTGGTAGAGCGCTGGGAAGTCGACAAGGATGCGCATGATCTGGTGCTTGGCCATAAAGCGCGACTCCAAGAAAACTTTGTGCATGTTGATGTGCGAGTGCGTCTTCCGGGACATGTGGGCAATGACCGTGGGCGATGTCGCGTGGTCCATAAGCGCCGTCTTGCGACCGTCCCAGTGGAAAAACGGCTCGCCGTCTACGGTGCATAGACTGCAGTCGATGTGCGTCATGTACAGTCGCTTGGGAATCACAATTGATGTCGGCTGCGTCCGGCAGTAGCGGATATCAACGATCGGAATCGGGTCAAGGGCCTCGAGGCTAAACGCCATGAGCGGTGCGGGCGCGGGCGCGACGTTGCCCATTGAACGTTACAGGCTTGGTTCGGTTGTGGGAAGATCGCAATGCTCTTTTGGTCGTGCCGTAAAACCAGCTGGTTTCGGCTACGGACTTTGATTCCCCGGTAAATTCGTCTCGCCAACAACTAGACAACTGCAACAACTAGACAACTGCAAGATCCGGAGCAGCTGCAGCCGAAGTTCTGGTGCTTACTAGTGCATGTTCAGAAGTGGATGCGCGAGCAAAGGGTTGTAGCCTACCATATCTGTAGATGGAGTCTAGACTGGCATATCGATACTAAGCTTACTACTCGTACTGGTACCGTAAAGCCAAGCAGTGAAGACCTGTCTGGCTGGTTGATGTCCATTCGGCATAAACGTGCAAGTGGCAGACGCTTTTGGAGCTGTTTTACGGCAGTCTTGAAACTCGCTTTTCGCTGGCACCAGCGCGTTCAGTGGTTAGCCTTGCCCGAGCGTGGCCCGTGCGATAGTGACACATGCTAAGAGGGATATTGGAAAACACTCCCTACTAATGTGCCTGTGTAAGCTACCCTTATCGACGACTCGGTGGGCGATGGCGCTCATAGAAAGCAATAGATAGCAAATATTGCGTTTTATATTGCTTATTAAGCATAATGCAATTTGCTAAAATACACAGTTATTTTAACCAATGGCATCGTGGTATTTAGGAGTGGGTTTGACTGGTTTCACAAGATACCGATTCCACGCAGAGCATGTTGCGCCGATTGAGTCGCGCGATTCCGACGCGTCCGTGGACGTCGCTTCCGTTGACTGCGTCGCGCCAATTCAACCATGCGCCCAAGCTCACGGCGCTGCCTCGCGCCTTGGAGCATTTCACCCACGGCCATGCGTTCTGCACGGCGGCGACGGGCAGCGTCGAGACGAGTGCGCATGCGCGCAAGCTCCTCGCCCACATCGACCTCATGGAAGAGCTCACTTGCAGTGGCTGCGGTATCGAAATGCAGTTCAAGGACGAGGCCAAGGTCGGGTACTGCTCGACGGCGGCGCTCGAGAAGATCGAAGATGTCCAGGAAATTGCGACGAAGCTCATCTGTCAGCGCTGCTTCCAGATCCGCAACTATGGCAAGATCACCGACACGAAGATGGCGTACGACGAATACGAAAAGCGCGTCAAGGCGCTCAAGCCGCGCGATATGCTCATGATCCAGCTCGTCGACATTCTCGACATTACCGGTTCGTTGCTGGGCAAGTACGTCTTCTGCATTAGGATCCTTCTTCCATGCCTCATCACATGCGTTCTTGTAGCGCGCGTCATGTTGTCGGGAAGAAACCCGTGCTTCTCGTGGTGAACAAGGCCGATATGATCCCGACCCACTCGGGCGCGCGTCGGCTCATGCGCCGCATCAAGATGGCCGCCGAGTACGCGAGTACGCTCGCACGATACCGTCTCACCGGCTGTGTAGAGATCTCGGTATTGAAAATGTCATTGGCATTCGCCTCGTCAGCTCCACCAAGAGTCTTGGCATCAAGGAGATCATCGGCGACATCAAGGTACCTTGCCCTCACCGCCACGACTTGGCCTGTATGTGTGCTGGCTAGAAACACCGCGAAAACCGCGATGTGTGTGTCATTGGCGCGGCCAACGCGGGCAAGAGCACGTTCCTAAACGCACTCATCTCGCACGTGTCCAAGAGCAAAAAGTTTGGCGGCAAGGCGACGCAGCGCCGTGAACTCGAGGTTTCGATTGTCTAGTCGCACGCCATTTGTGGACAAGATTGTCATGTAGGACATTTCTCTCGACGACTTTGAAGAAAAGGCGCCCGAGCAGCTCGTGTTCAACGAAGACGAAATCGATGCGGACGAAGAAGTCTTGAGCCTCAAGCAGAAGAAGCAGCTCTCCAAGGGCGCGCCGTCCAAGCACATGACGACGTCGGCGCTGCCCGGCACGACGCTGGCCGTGTCTCCGATTCCCGTCGTGATTGGCCAAAAGCCGTGCAACGTTCTCGACACGCCCGGTGCGTCACCACGTCGCCTTTCGGTCATGGATTGAGAGGCGTGTAGGTCTGATTGTGGACAAGAAGCGCCAGCGGCTTGTCGAGATTCTCTCGCAACCTGGCTGCATGGAACTCACGAACGCCATTCCGGGCAACAAGCTGCCGGTACGCGATGTGCTGCTGCGCTTACATGTATAGTCTTTTGCTTGTAGACAACCATCTACAAGGTGGCGCCGGGCCGCAGCTTGTTCCTTGGCGCAATGCTTCGCATGGACTATGAGAACGCCCTCTCGACCAAAGGCAAGAACGAGCTCCTCTTCACGTGGTACGGTGTCCTGCCGGGCCACCTCTCCAAGACAGAGCACGCAGACGACACGTTCATGAAGCACGCGGGCGGCCTTCTTTCGCCGCCCCGGGGTCTTGACGCAATCAGTCTCACGGGGCCGCTCCTTCCCCACAACAGTAGCGTCAAGCTTAGTGACTTCATCACGACGGACGTCAAGACCAAGTCCAAGCTCGCCAAGCGACCGAAGCGCACGACTTTGGTCGAGCTCGTCGTGCCGGGCTTTGGGTGGCTCGCGGTCACGGGTGTCGACCTCGACGGCACATTGGCGCTCGAGCAGACGCTCAAGAAGGCGTCCATCAAGTTTTCGACGGTCGACGGCATCCAAGTGCACCCTCGTGTGCCCCTCTTCCCGTACGAAATGTCCAGCTCCAACAAGCACGAGTGGAAGCAGTAAACGATCCTAAATACCGTCATCTTGACTAGACATCTATCAATATTTGATTGCCACCGAGCTGCTCTTCAGCGCACGGAGAGCTGGTGCTTTGCCCGAGGAACTGTCTTGTCATGACAGGAGCTAAGGAGAACCGTGTTTGTTTATAGGAATGTGTTTCGCATTACCTTTGTGTATGCGTAGAGAGTACCAATCTCCTTCTTCGCGCAGTGACCAGGCTGTTGCGACGTGGGGCTCATCAAGGGAATAGCTCAAGGGAATGAAACAAATTGATTTATTCCTTTGAGCTCATCTTGCTCTTTGGTGGCGCGGAAATGCGAGGTCCAAGTACTCGAGCTCGCCGCACCTTGAGCGATAGATACCAGATGAAGCGCCTACCCGTGCACGGCGGAGCCAAAAACGCGATATTCCCACGCGATGGAAGGAACCATGGAACCGGTTGGCGATCTTGAACCGACACGGGCCAATCACAGCGCGCGCTTTCACTTCGTGGCCAATCACAGTCCACGGTGCGGTACGAGTTCTTGGCAACCGCGCCTCTACTACAGCATTGCAGCAATCGCGATGCAAGAAGACGCGCCGCTGCTCCCGTCGTCCCGGATCCTCGACATACGCGGTGCGACACCGCCCCGGTCCGGCCTCCGCCACCGGCAGCAGCCCTTTAGCCGCGCCAAGCCGACGAGCCCGCTCCCGCCGGTGAGCTACCGAGCGATCGTGTGGCACGTGCTGCACTATCGGTCGTCGATCCAGCACGTGACCTACATCCAGCAGTGCTCCTACTACGTCGAGCTCTTCCTCCTCAACCTCATCTTGCTCAACGTCGTCGTAACGATTGTGAGCTCGTCGAGCCTCGTGGACCCGGCCGTGCCAGGTACACATCGCATCCGACGACGCGAATACAGAGCGTACTAGTGCACACACCATTGTGGTTCACGGGTATCATTTACGTCTCGACCGCCATCTTTACCATCGAGTACCTCTTGCGCTGGTGGTCGTGCGTCGAAGACCCTCGCTTCAAGTTCCACGCCGTATTTGGCCGGTACCGTTCGTCTCCTGGATGTAGATCCGTTGCAAGGCCGTGCGTAGACTCCAATGGATGCTGCGGCCCATGTCTCTCATTGACCTTGTTGCGCTCGTACCCTACTTTCTGGAAATTGCGCTCTGCTCAGCGTCTGCGTCCGTCCTCGTGTGCATGCGTCGCGCACTGTCATATACGATGTAGGACGTCGGTGGCGTATCGCGGCTCGATGACCATTCGTGGCCTCCGGCTCCTCCGCGTCATTTCCTTCCTGCGCATTGAACGATCGTATGATGCGATCAAGCGGCTGCGCATCATCTTTCGGCGAAAGCGGGTACGCATATTGCACATCTACCAAGTCCTCACGCGTTGTCTGTGCAGCAAGAATTCTTTGTGGTGACCTACCTCACCGCGGTCGTCATTCTCGTCTCGGCCACCATCATGTATGTCAACTTCCACCTGCAAATGATACGGAAGACTTGTCGTTTGCGTAGCTTTTTCCTCGAGTTTCCGGCGCAGCCCGACGTCTTCTCCAGCATTGGCGTCGGCGCGTGGTGGGCAATCGAGACCATCACGTCGCTAGGGTACGGAGACGCGGTGCCCATCACGGTGGCCGGTCGCATCTTTGCGTCCGTCGTCGCACTCTGGGGCATCATCCTCTTTGCGATTCCAGGTAGAATCGATCGTATACCAGCTAGAATAGTAAACACGCTGGCGCAGGCGCGATCCTCGGCAGTGGCTTCATTGAAGTCATGCTCGAGCACCAAACGGCCAAGGAAATGCGCGCCAAAGACCGGTGGATCCACGAAATTTCTTCGCAGCTCCACCAGATTCAGTCGGTCGCCGCGGGCTCGCTCTTGGCGCCGCGTACGTTGCGAAAGACAAACTGACGCAGGTTGGTTGACGGTCGTATGTTTAGTGACGACCTTGTCCAACGTCCTCTCCGAGCCCGTCGAAGGCAGCCTCGACGAGGACAGTACGGAGGCTCCCACCCTGGCGACACCACCGCTCTCGATCCCTTTGGGCACCCCAGATGCGACTATGTCGCCGCATTTATCGCCGCTTGGGTCCGACGTCGTGACGGTCTCGTCGACGCAGCTCAACGAACTCCTTCAAAATCAGGTGAGCACCGACTGCTCATGTGGACGGCGCACATATCTTTGTGCTAGGAAATGCTTTCGCTGCAGATTCAGCTACAGCGTGAACAACTCGACCGCGTCTTGAAGCTTCTCGAGACCAAGATTCACGTTGGTCCCAGCAGCAGCGTGTTTTAGTAAACGCATTGACGTGAACAAGCACTGCGTGCCGTGATGGTTGGCTCCTGCACCATTTTCATGAAGAGAGGAGAGACCGCAACAATCGTTCTTTGCTCTGCAACGCGAGAAAGATGTGCACACCCAAGGAGCTGCAGGCTATAGGTGCCAGGTGCAAACGGGCGACCGACCAACGGCAGCGCACGCTGTTGATGCAGCGTAGACGCCCGGGTAGGAGTTGATCATAAATACAGACCCCACGTGGTGTCGCGGTTCCTTGGACGCCTAGGAAGGCCCCGCCACCGCTCCTGCCGGCCTCCGAATTTTTGTCTCGCATCGTTGAGGCAGATCGTTCCATCGAACGAGCGATGGCCTCCAACAAGGAAGGGACTTGATTGTCTACCATTGCATACGGCGATAGCCGGATCCCGCGCGGTAGCGCGGTAGGGGCATCTTCCATGCGCGAGTGCCGTCGGCATTGATGCGCGGTGCGTCAAGCACGAGTGTAGCGCGTGCACCTGCGATAGTGGACGGCTTCGCGGTAGGATAGTCTGCCACGCTACACTCGTGGTTGGCGCTGCGCGCATCCATGCTAAATCGCTACGCTCACAAATGGTCTATGCCATTACCGCGCTACCTCGCGGAATCCGGCTATCGCCGGTTGCACTCGCAACTAGTCTCGCCTGGATGCACCGCCCCATGTCGCTGATTGATCTTGTTGCGCTCGTGCCCTACGTGGTTGAAGCGATCGCGTGCTACAGCGCTGTGTATGACTACCATCCCATAGTTCGCTTTTGAGCTCATTAAATGATAGACTTCCGGAGGCGTCGGCGGTCGTGCAGGCCTGCGCCTTCTGCGGGTCCTCGCCTTTCTGCGCATCGAGCGGTCGGTCGTACGATGCGGTCAAGCGTCTTCGCATCATCTTTCGCAAGAAGCGGGTAACGCTAGGAGCGGTTCGTGTTGCAGCTACACGTGCAACAAGTCCAAATTGAACGCATTTTGGCGCTGCTAGAGACACCAAAAGACCAAGTAAGCAGCGATTCCACGCCAACGACCTTATTTAATTCAAGTGTCTCGCGAGGATAACTTGTGGTGGGATACATCATCAAACAATTTGTACCGTTGGTTGATTCGTTGTCGTGGGCTGCTGTGCCAGGACTGCTTGGCCCAGGAACGGCGCCTGGAGTGCAGCCAAATGTGCCCGTGTCTGTCAGTCGGGTGAACCGCAGGGTGAACCGGTCTACAAGCAATACGACAAGTCTGAAAACCTCAAAATGCGTTTCTGCATGTTCTTACAACTGAACACTACCAGAGTCGACTACACATTAGCTTTTACTAGTCGGCGAGAAGGCGGTCGTAGATGCGGCGGCGCTGCTGGTAGAGAAGGTCATCGATGCTCGCCACTGGGCGGAGGCAAAAGTTGAAGAGACCAAAGACCACAAGGCCCAGGCAGCAGAGCGGGAGGAGCCCGACGCCAAGGAAGAAGCCGATCGCGACAAATGCAAACACAAAAACAGCGAAAAACATCGTAAAGAACTGCAGCACGAGCAGGAGGGCCGAGTTGCAGACGTTCGAGACGAGCCGGCTCAGCGAGAAGAAGCCACATTCGTGCTGACGCTCTGGGCCGTGGTGCATCGGGAGCGGCCCCGAGCCGTAGACCGCCGTACCCGTAGGGTACTGTTGCGCAATGTAGATGGGGGCTTGCTGCGGCGGGTAGCTCTGCTGCGGGTAGCCCTGCTGCGGCGGGTACCCATACGGCTGCGCCGGCGCGCTGTTGTAGGCGGCGGGGTACGTCGGCTGCACGGGCACGGCTTGCGGCGTCTCGTCCGTGCTCGTCGTCTTGTACGTCGCCATGCTGTGATTTTATAAATGGCGGCGCATGCCAGTGACTGGGAAGAGGACACTCACTCGCGGCCTGCATTCTTGACTACAATCAGCTCAGCGTTAAATCATTGTGTTAAACCCATCAGGAATCGGTTTAATGCGTTAAATGCCCATCGTCGTGTGCGTCAAACTGCACCAACTGTATTTTGCAGGCTTATAGCGATCGGCATGCTGGCCATCACTTCGATGGCGGCGAATTGTTCCTTGCCGGAAAAGTCAAGTGGCCTTGTCGAACTTAACCTCGATAGCAGCATCGCTGATACATGACCGAATTCATGCTCGCTGCTTTGCAAGCTTATGTCATTCCTTCTCTGAACTTGAGACCTTGTTTGTACCCCATACTTGTCAGGCGGTGTATTACCGGGATTACCACTATGGGTTTTTCTTTTTCTATGTGGTCCATCGTCAAGCTACTTGATCGACCAGCAGCGTCCGCGGTCGTGAGCCAGACCCGTGTTGCGGAGTTCCACTTGGATGCGACCGTGGGCCGACCTGGAGCTGCAGCACCCGAAGGTACACAGGGGGTGGCTCATTTAAACTC